AGAACCAATCGAAGCTTTAAGTATAATTATGAAATACAAAATTAATAAATTGTTAGTGCCAAAGGGCGTGACAGTTGCCAAGGGCTATTTCCATCAGTCAGTTGCATTTAATGAGTCCTTGTTCAATATTAATTGATACAAGCAACAAATGTGATATCTGGCCTTGTCAAATTCTGGAACAAATTAATCTTCTGGCGGTGGAACTAGACTATATTTATCGCAATTTGAAGGAGCTCGTGCGGTTTCTTAATATTTAGTGGCTATATCGTCGCTTTTATAGTTCTTACCACTGGACTTCCAGCAGTAAGAACTAATTCTACCGTGCTGGGCAAATGCATGTTGTTGGCGTAGACGAATTATGGCTTCTAAGGTATTCAAAATAAAGTGTGGACTTTATTTTCACCGGAAAATAGGTATCTGAATGCACGTAAAGATATTTAGGTATGCAATGATACGGATAAGGTAAGTACTGTCTATGATGCGAGTAGTACACAATTAAATAAACCACATTTAACAGTTTAAAACTGGAAATGTAGTTAATCTATAATAATAAACTTTAAAGAGGACACTGCGAGGTTCTTCTGTAAGGATGCAGCTAGTTTCTCCAAATACCAATAACGGCGGCATTAGGGTCACCGTCCATCTTTAGCCCCCCTGTGACCGCGGCAGCTGCAAAACACCCGAGATATTGGGTCCTAATTAAAGCAAATTGTAAATAACAAATTTCTTGAACTAACATACTTCGCGTCATAAACCGTCAAAAGTATTTCAGTTAAGGGCATATTTTGGTTCGGTTTTTTTAATCTGACCGTAAATATGGCCAACTCGTCTCATTTCAAAACGTATTATTACATATTGCAAAGAAAAAGCAGACATTTTCTATAAATATTTGAAACTTTATCGATGGTTCTTAAAGTTATATAAAAATAGTTTTTTTCGAAGACCCATTATCTTAACTTACCTATTTTCATTATCGTGTTCCATAGACAAGGGTCAGACCCTCTGTTCTATAAATAGAGTTTTAGGAAGCTGTTGTAACTTAGCAACAAGAACTTCGTTGTTTTGCAATTGTTTTTCTATAAATAAAGCTTTTGTTATTTAAAACGGGACAGAGGTAATAGGTTCATTGATAACTAAAATTAAAACAACATTTAAGATACGTTGTGTATTGTTAAACTCGGCGTTTACATAATTGAGAAACAAAAGAACACATTTTACTATTATATAATTAATTATACATAGTAATATGTATTTGGTTTTTAGTTTGGGATGTGTGTAGTTCTTTGTAGAAAACGTATGACAATGCATCAATTTAATAACCCAGGTTTGAATCCTACAATGGGAATTCCTAATACATAATATGTCTTCTGTTAGCTTTGGTTACGATCATTAAGATACTTCCGCACTAAGCGGCGTGGTGGGTCTAAGCTAAGGTCTTAAACACCTTTCCCAAATAAAAAACTGTGCTCAGCAAAGAGACATAAGAGGTTAAAATAAAAATATATATTATTATGTGTATTATTATGTGAGCCACAAGAAGTGGCTCTATTCAAATCAATTTCAGCGTCGTCTCGTTACTAAGTAATACGTTTTTAGCAATAAATAAACTGAGCATTTGATAAATAATTATAAATTTGCCGTCGTTTGCAAATGAAATTACACAGCTCGGTAAGCTCACAGATAAATGAGGTAGAAAGTTAAATGTTAAAAGAATTATTTATCGGTTGAACATAGCTTAGAGGTATTTTTAAGTAGCACTTCCTGTCACGTACAGAAAAATTATCTTGAAAAATAGTCCCCAATTTCAGGATAACAAATATCTATTTTGTATGTAAGATGCTTGGGACAGACAAACTTCTGTGTCTATTTCACTTTCAAATATAATAAGAAGTAAATTTTTATAAAATTAATATATCACTGTATAATTTTATTATTATATAAATTTTAAAATTTAAATGTATCAAAATTGTTGTATAACGGCAAATCCTGGCGCAAAGTTTGTTATTAAATTCAAAAAGTAGGTTATTGTACACACTACCGTGTCTAGCCCGACAAAAATTATAACTTGGACTTTAAACTCTCGACCTCTTGGGCTTAGCGCGATGCTTTCGACCAATGAGCTACGGATGAGGTTCCATCAAATTATAATAATTCAAACAAAAGAACGATCATATGACAAAGTTATTTTTGTAATAACCTAAATAGTTCCAAGCAATTCCCAAATACATCTGGTGGCGCCAGTGGCTGGCAGTGACGAGTTTATCATTTGAATTGAAGTTGACTTCGCAGACAAGATAGTAAAGCTGGCACAATTTACACCGTACACGTGTTTGTATGTTTTATCTTATTTTCGTATTTTAGTGAGATAATACGGTTATTTTTATTTTATAAATACTGGTGGATCTCGCTGGGTTATATAACTTTAATTTAATTATAATATACATACATATTATAATTATGTATTCTCTGTAGTTTACGCATACAGTAGACATTATAAAAAAAACACTTTTAAATGATTTAAAACGGAATATCTATTAACTAACTTATTAAGTAAATATTTTTTTTTGAAAACAAGTTAACCAATATAATTTGCGTTTTAACCCGTTAAAAATTATAATATTATAAATAAGTTTTTTATAAAACACTAATATATGGTCAATATCTTTTTATGCTTCTACCTAGTGCAATAATCTATTTTTTTTATAAAACTAGACGAGAGTTATAATTATAAGATCTTATTAATAATCTTGGCCAGTATAATATTTGTTTATTTTTCAGTTGCACATTGTTTAGTTACTAATATAACTAAATATTAGTAACTAAACAATGTAAGGTAATTTAACAAAATGCATCGATATTGTTTGTTAAATTAATAATCTCGAAGTTCCAATTCCTAACTTATTTCGTACCTACTAACAAGACCTTTCTCTTCAAAAGCAAACATATGTAATAGGTCTGGTTAACAATATGATTAAGCGAAGGCGTACGTCAATCCCCTACATTTTCTTCCTTTGGAGCTTTGTTATCGTTTTGTAATTGTAAACTTGGCTACGGCGTTGACAGCCCATATGTAAAACCTTAAATTGAAACGACTGTTAGACTTCAGTTATCCACAAATAGTTAACCACCTCTCCCTACATTGTATGCAGTGCGTGATTGATTAATTACATTAATTTAATGGACGTGTTCAACACCAGGCGACACACTTACACAGTAATTAATTCTCATTAAAACGCGAAGGACTTCATCCGTCAATAAAATGTCACCGTGTTTGTAAATAGCGCTACTATATTAAGCTCCTCAAAGATTGCAAAGAATATGATATTTATAGCTGGTGTCACTGACTTGGGGTGCCTGTCTGGTAGACTCTAGACACCAACTGTCACTGAACTTGAGTTTTTGCTGCGGGATATTCCATCGCAAATTACGCAATATATAGCCATAGCGGAGATTCGTATCAATTTGTTCAAGGCTATTATATTCTATTAATTGGGCAGGTAACTTATTATGCCTATGGAAGTTTGAAAAATAAAGGCCTTTCAAATTAAGAGCGCAGAACAAGTAAGAACTGTTTCAATAAAACATTTTAACGGTTTAAAACGTGATATATGTAGGTTAAACTTGCACACAGTATTTTAAACAAGTTTACGGTATTTAAATAAAAACTAAACAAAAAAACTCATCGCCACTGTTTTCATCGCCAAATTGCACTTTAAAAAGTTTCCAAACCCAAATTTTATAAAAATCTCCTATTCTATATAGGACATTTAAGCAATCACTTGAAATAAGGCAAATGTAATGATAAATATCTAATACTCGTAAGTCAATAAGTAGCTCAACTTAAAGCAAAGCAAACGGATATGGTGATCTAAGAGTTCGAAAAAGTTCAAGAACGAAATACATTTACGTATCAAATTATTATCGTAGACCTTCGTAGCACATATTTGATTAACGTAGCTCTAGCTACGAAGTCAGTTAATTGCTATTATAAAATATTTTTCATATTAAACACTTTTATTAAGTGTTGTAGTATTTAACATGCTTTGAAGTCAGCATATATACCCATTTTCAATGGTATCTAATTATCTAATTATTGTAATAATCTTCTTAATTTCTTTCTAATTTTTAAAAAGCGCGTTAAGGATACCTTTTTTATTATAGCCTAGGGCGTGTAAGTGTGCATAAAAAATTTAAAGTATTAACTATACAGTGTAGGTTTTTAAACGTGTGTAGCTCATTTTGGTGTCTAGCACAAGAAGTGCAAAAAGACCTAGATTTAAATCCCGGGAAAAGTCATTTTTTCATCGCAGTCGATATAAAAGTCAGGCACAAAAACCTGTATCCCTTAACACAGGGATAACAGCATTTCAAGTTTTGTACTAATTGCTTGATTCAAAAAACCTTTCACATAAAAATAAACACGTCCCTTTACGATCAAAATATTAAATTACGCAGCTGGTGTCCTTCGTGATATAAAGGCTTAGAGCAGACCACATAATGAAGGCTAAAACGCATCGGAATGTCCTAATCACCTCAAGAATCCCTCTGTATAAAGGTTACAGTATCTGAAAATCGATATCTATTCGTTTAACACTAAGAAACTAATTAAATTAAAACGACAATTAATTAGTATGAAGTTACATATATGGTTATATTAATGAGTTTGGGAATTATTAGTGAAGAGGTGAGTAAACAGAATCATGTGAATATGAGTCGTAAAATACGAAAGGTACCGATTGTATAGTAGTAGTCGTCTGTAGTACGCGCTTCAATAAAACACGTATTAGGGTTAAAAACGCGGAAAATATTATTTAACTTATTTTTATCAAATTTGGAAAAAAACAAAACAAGGAAATAATTATTATATAGCCATTATCCTAATTGTCTCAAAGTTTGCTTAAAGTGTCGTTCTGGTTTTTTAAGTCCTTCGCTACGCTTCACTGAATTCTGACAGCATATAATTTAAACAAGTCAGGAAGCGTAGCAACTCCGTGCCATTATTAAAAGGACAGTTGTGACTTTCGGGTGAATTTTCGTAGACAGTACGGGCGGAGCGCGGCGCGGGGCGTGGCGGGTTGCGCGCGCGCCGCCCATCGTCTTTTAAAAGCGGGTGCTGCGCGGGCGCATACGACAGCGTGACCACTGACCGGCGCCACTGAACCACGCACGAGCGCGTGCGGTGCGACACGACTGCAAATACGTTGCGCTCAATTGCCAGCGCCGAATCTACTACTGTTCAATTTGTACCTTGGAACATAATACAGACCCCAGAGGTAAGTTTCCTTATAATTTCAAGTGATACAAAACTACATTTTATTGTCTCTCTTCGCCATTTAATATGGTTATAATTTTGTTGAAAGAGGTAAGTCTCATTATTTATTGTTGTTCAAAAAACTTTTGTAAATTTAATCTTACTATAGAAAAAAAGTTGATAAGGTGAAGAATTCAAATATATTTTTTACTGTTAAGGTAAAGTTACATACAATTAATGCGAATTATTTAAAACATTTATTTTCCTATTTATGGCATCAATATTCATGACATGCTGTTTAAATATTCACAATTAGTTTTTTATGTATATTTTTGGCGAAAATGGTCTCGTACAAGATTTTTCTCGCTTTGTAAAAGGTTATCTTAGTTTTTAAATATTGGAAAATTTGCTATTTTATACTTTAGATGGAGCACGGTTAGTAAAAAACGCTTCTAGGTAAATAAAATATCTACATTGTCAATTCTTATATCGTGAAAGTTCACAAGTTAAGCCTCTCAAATTAAAAAGTTCCAACACAATCTGTACTACAGATTTTACTACCTATTCAAGCCTGTGCATCATAAAAGGCAGCTACAACTCACAATTAGAATACCTGCATTCGCAATGCTCTTTCTCAGAAAGCACGAGTTCTGCCCGATCCCTCGAGAAACCCGGACCAGCAACGCAATAAACTGGTCTTGCGTCTAACGCGAACCGCAAATTAACCCCTTTTATGGTTCCATTAATTTATAAAAAGGTCAAAAGATAAGGTGTAAAAATAACAAATTAATTAATACCAGCTGATAGTAGTTCAAACTCTATCGAGCTCCACGTAAACAAAGCAGAAGTAATCTGCGCCTGGAGCGAAAATAAAGTTTATGAACTTTGCGAGGTCAAGTTTTAAATTGGGGTCGCGCCGCTCGCCGATGTGAGATGGACACCTGCGACCTTGCCTTCCAGACACAATGCAACTTCTTTTGCGAGATAGTTATTGTTTTGCACATTTTGAAATGGTATTGTTCTCAAATCCCACATCACGTGTGAATGCTCGGCTAATAGCTACTCTGAAACTCTGACAATTTATAAGCAATACTATTAAACAAATAATAAATTTGCTATACAGCGACATATCACATATAACATAATGTTCAGAATTGTATGTAGTTTACGCGAGTAGTACACATTTAGATACAACACTTTTAACGGTCTAAAGCCGTGGACGCAGGGGGGGACTAAATGTGAAGTCCCCCAGTAACCACGGCTGCTGCAAAGTTTCCGAAACGTAAGATCCTTTGGCATGATTTTTAACAAAATATAATTTTATTTTGTCGTAGTATTATTATTTTACATTTATTATAATTATTTTTTATTGTAATTACATTTCTTTTTTCTACGTCATTGTGATTGTACAAAATGAATGCTAAATAAAGAGATTTATTATTATAACAATAAGTTAACTAATACAATACGCGTGTTAAACCATTAAGTGTGTTATATAATTATGTTAAACTTATACATAGAGCGTTTTCCCCTGAAAATGTTCGATCTTTTTATGACGAAGGCACTCGATGCGAAAAAATATTATAAATGATTCCCTTGTGGATGTAAAAAGTAAGGCTTAGTTTATAGATGTAATTTGCTAATCCAATTTATTGACGGGTCCGATGGTCAAATTGTAGCAATGAAATTACATTGCGCGAGAGTTGCATGTATCAATAAGATACGGTAGCTCAACTATTTAGAGCAAAAGATCACTGTGGATGCTTGTTCAAGTCCGCCCGTGGCGTAAATTTTTCGTGTCGATTTTTAATTTATGTAATTCGATTTATTTATTAGAATTGACAGGAGACGCGTTTTTTTTTGTATTATTAATTCTTTTCCTGGGTGTAAAGGTTCTGTAGCGCAGGTAACACCGCGGGGCGTCTCTACCTACGAAAATAGTATCGACACAAGCCACTGACCGCTCGCAAAACATCAATTGGAATACCCGACATTACACTTGACCCTCACAAACTCCTCAATGATCCGTGTCGTTACCTTTCGCGACCGTCCCCAGTTGCTATGGACGTCTCCGCTTCGTATGAAAACGTCTCGTGCATCGTAACTCGAGAACTGTAATATGTTTAGTCTCATTAGAGTTGAGCCATTGTTACGCTGACAGAAACGTTAAGCAATCGTTTCGAGATGTCGATTTGATTAATTTGTGGTTCAAGACATTTGCAAGGAATAAATTTTCGCTTAAGCGTAAACACAATAATATACTGAACATTAAATTATATACAAATAGTTATAAATTTACAATTATAAAATATACTTAAATAAAAATATTACTAATATTATTCGATAAGGCAACATGAGTCTTGTCTGTACTTGTACCACATCCATGGCCAGGAGGGACGGCTGCTGCAAAGCGCCCGGAACGACGGGCCCCAATTACAAAACATGTAAATAAGTTTCACTAATGCGTTCGCGTTTTAAACTGTTCAAATTAAATACTATCTATAGTTTACGCGAGTAGTACACATTTAAATAAAACACTTTAACGGTTTAAAACGCGGGGAGACTCCCCGTGACCACGGCTGCTGCAAAGCATCCGAAACGTCGGGCCGAAGTTAAAAATCATTTTCAATTAAGTTTAACTATCGCGCTTTAAACCGTTAAAGTATTTTATTTAACTGTTCAAATTGTTATTATTTAAAACATGAGTCCATAAAATTGTAGGTAAAACACTCAATTGGTAAAGGAATGTGTGTGAAAAATTAAGAATCCGCCGTCTCTCCGTTGCATCTGGCCATTTGAATCTAATATTGATACAATGTTTAAATGGTAATGCCTGCAAAGGTATTGTAGAGCTAGCATAGTTAGGCCATCCGTCTTACGTTTAGGTCAGTCTATCCTTGATATTTTCAAGTTCATTTTATTTCTTTGCATAAATCCTCCTCCGTGCGGATCGAGTGAGTTTAAATTTTGACTCAAGTCATCTACCAAAATACAGCTTCGGTAAACCAGATGAACCACAAAAATCCAGATGATGATGGTGATGAGACGCTGTGGTTATAGGTTCGAATCCCGCGACGTAACCTGTTAAAGTATAATATTATTCAGTTCAATCTCGCGTTATTTCTAACAGCGCGCGCATTAGGCTACGATTTAATTAATCAGGCTTCAGCTTGAGGTAAAAAATTCCAGTAAACTACATTGTGACCAATGATACCTCTCAAGTACCTAATAGGACTTACCTGAGAGTAATGACGAGGATAATCTCTTAAATGTCGTTAGCAGATAGTAATCTCCGTTTATTGCCGACTCCAATGACCTATAACTGTTATGTTTTGAATAACTGGACCACCCAAGACCTGACTGCGATATCCGGAAATACTCGTACAATTTCAATTATAAGTAATATTTAGATAAATCCTGTCTGTAGTTTACGCGAGTAGCACACATTTAAATAAAACAGTTTAAGCGTTAAAACGCGAAATATAAAATTTAAACTTCTTCGAGACGTCGGGCCATAGTCAAACTAATTTTCAAATAAGTTTAACTTTTATGTTTCGCGTTTTAAACCGTTAAAGTGTTTTATTTCAATTGCATTTATATGTTACACTTTTAACGGTTTAAAACGCGATATTGTTAACTTATTAACTACGATCCGACATGTCTAATGCTTTGCAGCAACAGTGGACAGAGAAGGAGTAAAGATGGACGACGTCCTTTTTGTCAAGGCCAAACCTGCTTCCTCGTATACTTCAAACGTACTACTAAAGTTCAAACGTTGTGTAAAGTATTTTTAACTTTGCTTATCGACAAAGATCAATAGAACCTCGTAAAACAAAACCGACCGCCAAATAGCCTTTACTTTTCATTTCAATTCAAATTAATTTCTGATCGTTGTATTTAGACGAACTTTTCATTGCGTTTCATTGTCTATATCTACATATTATAAGTAGCTTATGCTCGCAACTTTGTCTGGTTGAAAAATGGCCTTGGTAAACCATTTTACAAATAATAATCAAAACTCAATTGTTTAAGCACCGCAAGTAGAGAAGACTCGTAGTTGATTTTTATTCGGTTTGTCTTATGACTTTAATTACTGATTTTAATGCTAATACAAAACTTTTATATTTTCTAATCTACTGGTCCTCGAAAATATCAAATATTTCAAGAGTAGTACATATAAACCGACAGACAGACCCTGAACTCTTTCTATCAGTTTAAAAAGATTTAATTCAATGTACAGACAAACTTATATTGCTCTATCATAGCGATGTTTATTTTGTAACGCGTTAGTTGATAGCGAGTCTGCCAAGCCAAGATTCATGTTATTATCTAATGGAGTGCAGCCGCACCGAGCCACGGAGCGAATATGTGATAGGTGTTATGTATCCTAGGGTTGCCAGATCACCAAACGTTGCTAACTCACATCTAGTTTTTATTTTGTAATTGAATTCGAATTTATATAAAACATTTTTAACGGCTTAATACGCGACATATAAAATCAATACCTCGTTACGGATGCTTTGCAGTACTTTATTGTCGGAGAGATCTAATTCGAAATTTAAATAAATTGAGAATAAGGTTTGTACTTTGATTCGAAATTTAAAATGATTGTAGATATTGTCTGTAGTTTACGCAAACGACATTGAATGAAACACATGTTTATATACTGTTTAAGACGCAAAATACATTCGTGAAATTATTTTTAACTGGTTTGAATGCTTTACAGCAGCCATGGTCACTGGTCGTTTGATTTTATACAAATAATTTCATTAGACAATGTTATAATTTTTCCCATTAACCAAATGTCCTTTAAACCGAGATCTATTTAAACCCAAAGACAAGTGATACAAAGTTTAACTTAAAAATAAATACATAACCCTAGATAATGGGTTGTATGCACATGCGGTCTGCAATTCTCATGAGCGATTGACTGTCCGGAACGAAGCAAGTACCTACTCAGTATTACAAGTTTACAACTATCATGATCGTATCCTATGTTAGTAAATAAATGAGGCCAACATTATTACTTCACTAATTTTCAAATTTTCTTTTCAATGCAATGTATATTGGACGTTGTTTGTATCCTCTGTTTAATATGTCAGTAGTGAATTTTGTGTAGGTTAAAAAGAAGTAGTTACAACTGTGTTTATGTATCTTCGTAGTGAATTTTATAAACTAATTAATTTATTATTTGTACGTGATCTATTAATAAATTATACGTTAATACATAACGTTCTAGATTTCCTTAGTCTGGTAATTTGAATAGCGGAATAAAACTACAGCTCATTATTTTCAACGACAATAGGTTCTAAAAAATTCGACAGGTAACTAACCTTTTATCGCGTCCATTTATCTAAGAAAGCTTAATTGTAATGTCAATCAACTGCAAACTAAGTATAAAAACGCTTATCTAGCGTTTATCTCAGTCTAGAAAAAATGAGGTCCATAGCTCTAGCTTACTTCCACTTTTTGTCTACCACTTCTCATATTATATGAATTGTTTGTGAAAAAACTTGACGGCGCTTTAGCATGTAAAATAAAACTTTTATAGGGAGATATATATATACTCTTGTCTGACCTCCTCGATTATAAAAAAGAGATATTTATATTCTTAGTATACATACAAGTTGTGTAATAAAATGTACGCGAATATAATAATTGAACTGTTCTACATTTCAATGCAACAATACAATACTAAGAAATGGTCAACAGCAATTGTACATACAATGTAGTGGACCTTTAAGTAACCTGCAAGTGGGCATCTCGGAGGCAAGGTTAAAATGGTATAAATAAAGGTAACCTTACATTAATGTCTAATGAATGTCGAAGGGTCGACTTGTTATGACTCCCGTGTAATGAACGATAGTAAAAGCCGCCGCATGCGCATATCGTAACTACCAAACACTACAGACTACAAATTCTGTACTCTCCTTTAAATGTATTTATTTATTTCAAAATTTTCAACACTCATCGTAATTAAAGCATTAATTTTATCTTAATAAACAAACATGAGACCTTTGTATAATCTTTACTTATAACTGTGGCCATGATTTCGTCCGCGTGGAATAGGTATTTCTGGCATCATATTATTTATTTTTACAAAGAACTTTTACTTTAAAGATACGCACGACGTCATCCCGTCGTTCTTGCAAGTTAATCTTAAAAGATAGGCACAAACTGTTGAAGTCTTTTTTATAAGTCATTTGAATAAGAAACATTATTTACCTAAAATTGCTCAAATCAAACCAGCAGTAGTTTCTGAGATTAACGCGTTCAAACAAATAAACTTTTCAGCTTTATAATATTAGTATACATGTAGATCGTCTGTGAAAAATAAATTACTTCAAACGCATATTACAATAGCAAGACTGCACCACGAAACCGGGAGATTAAAAATTGAAAGCCATAAAATTAGCCACGACACAACACCACCCACCGCACCCCACTATTCTTAGAATAGCACTTACGGAAAGGAAGAAACTGATTTGCATTTTTATGAATGACGAAGGTGTAGTCTTTTGCCTTGTTTTTTAATTCTCCTTAACTGAGACGGCCTTTGATGAAATTGGACATTTATAACGCACAATAAAAGGATGGCACTTAAGCAACACGATTGCCTATAAAAGAATAAAGGTTTATGATTTATCAACAACTAGCGACCCGCCCCGGCTTTGCTCGGCGGCAATGCTGATACTAAATACACTACAGGAAAACTGTGAACGTTGTATATAAAACCTTCCTCTTTAATCGCTCTATCTATTAAAAAAAACGCGTCAAAATCCGTTGCGTAGTTTTGAAGATTTTAGCGCACATAGGGACTGAAAAAACGACTTTGTTTCATACTATGTAGTGACTATACAAAACGGAATACTGAATAACTTTTTTATTTATTTCATAGAGCGAAGTTGCGTGGTTTCTAGTGATTATAACATACAGTTATTTGGTCAAATATCTTCAAGCATTGTTCCGTAACGCTACCGTAAAAAATGAGGCCAAATATTACGTTTCAGATCAGACGTAATCGGATCTCACACTGATCAGCCTGATTGACCCTGATTAAAATTTACAAATACACTCACAGTTTGTCTGTATGACGCGGTACGAATTTTTGTGTCGAATGAAATAAGTCTTTTAAACCGAAAAGAGCTTTAGCTTGATTAAAGGAAGCCATACATTTTTAAAGTGTCTCTCATCATTATTCAGTGACAAAAAACAAACAATTATAGAACGAAAAAAGAAGTCAACACAATTTCAATACAATTATTACTTAAGAACATTTAAAATTAATTTTTATTATTTAAGAAGTTTAAATTAAACATTTTTACCACTTTAACTATAGCCCGACGTTTGCAAAATAACTTGTATTTTAGTTAACCAATATATATACATTGATATATTTCGCGTCTTCAACTTTCAAAGGTACACTACTCGTTTTTAAATAGGTACTTAACATAGAAAATATATTACAATCATTTCAACAGGGCAATATCTATGCTTTCGGAAATTGTTTTAAAATCAGATATCACCAATATCGATACATGTAAAGTGGTTCTAAGTTTCACTGAGTAGTGAGTAGTCGCCTTCGGTTTCAGGTGGCACGTCTCATTAAATCCGATAGCTATTTATTTTCATAAAGACTATCTTAAAATCGATTTCCCCATACAACGTTACATCAAGGAAATGAAAAAGGCGTAAAAATACAATCCCTTGTACAACGCTGGGAGGCGCCGGTGTCATATTACACTTACCCTTCGGTATAAAAGCGTTTACTCCTCGTTTTATGCACACTCGTGAGCTCCGATTACAGAAACAGTGCTGGTCTACCTTCAATAGGTGACGAGTCGACGTTTTAATACTGAAAAATAACGATACTTTAAAAAAAATGGTGAATAATAGCAACCGTTTTACAGATTTCAATATGTTAGTGAATACGGCTCAGTTCGCCATGATCACTTTGGCTCTGCTGCTGGATTTGAAGTCCGAAGCGGCACCAGCCACCTTCAAGTTGTGCGGCAGGAATCTCGTAGAGGCTATGGAAATCGTTTGCAAGGAATACAATAGTCCCTCGTGGGATGTACCAACAGGTCAGTTAGTTTTTTTATATTTTAATGGACGTATTAACGAATTATTATCTCAAGTTATAATCCAGAATCTCGTGGTTTTTCGTTTTCCACATTACAAAAGCCGTGAAATTATTATCCGTTCCGGTTTCAGTCTGTGGATTTACGAATATCCAAAGCCAAAAAAGATTGACAACACAACATTTACTATTTCACCTTCCCTCGAAAGAACCCCATACTCGTCATCGCATCTTTTATGATCATGGTACCAAAACATCTATCGCATTTAACAAACGCTTACTAGGAGATATCCGCCTTTTTATAATGAGTAACATGTTATTGACTCTTAAAAAACGTCAAAAATTACACTCTAACTGTTACCTAATGTCCCCTTCGTGACCTGCAAAGTCGTAATGATGATATCCGCCTGGTAACAATATTCTTATCAATGCGCAAAAGCTAAGGTCGGTAGTTTAATGGGTGCATTCTAACTTTCTAAACATGGAATTATCAATACACATGCATTGATTACAATATATCAAACGATTAAAATCTAAACTATTTTAGATGTATAATTTTTTTCAGAACTAATCTTATCATAATAATTTAATATACACAATTAAAATTGTAGTTACTTAGTTTCGAAGCTTTGTGAAATAAAAATCCCATCTAAAAATAATACATTCGTATACCTGGAGTAAGTAATTATGCATTATGATTGATGGTTATTGGCTGTATTATTTAGATGACTTTATTAACTTAGAGGAAGGAATTGATTCTGCAAATTGCAAGTTATAAATAGCAAAGACACGTCACTTTTTGTAACAAGACTTATTTATAGCACAAATAAGCTTCGTTATTGACTTAATACGCTAATGCTTTTTAAATTGCTTAATATTATTATGATTATGTAATGAAGCGTAGCCAATTATGTAAAGTAATATTGGTTTTTATCTCAACATCGCACGACCTCTTGATTGTTTACATCTAGAAATAATCATAGGAAAAACAAGCTGTTTTATAGCGACACCCTATTAACTTATTATCAGCCAATCACGAAACAATTTCGTGTCATATTAAATGAATCAAGGACGTGGGCAAGCGTATCTTCGCGGGAAATTCCACTCAACATATCTGTATTAAATTCTTCATCGGATGACGGTGAAGCCAAAATAAAGGACTATTGTTTAGTCTATGTATCTTTCATAGCGCTTAAATGTCAAATTCATAATAATAGCAGATGTATGTAACATATGGCGTAGCTAGGAGCCAGGAGGTGCAGTGCACCAGGTCTCCGGTCTCTAATCTCACTTTGAAGAGTAGAGCATAAGAGAAAAAATATATGTATATCTTTATTTGTAACATTTTTTTATACGAACTCTTCTTGTTCGTATTCTATATTTTAAGGGCTAAGGCTTTATTTATAAGTTTAGAAAATGAGGGCTCGATTCTTTATTTATGTAACGGGACCCTTATTTTGCTACGCTACTGACTATAAAAGTAAAGTGGTATACAAATGCCAACCTATTCTTGTAAGTTCAACTGACATAACCACGATGCAGACTAAAATATCGACGCAAAATAATTTTATTCGAAAATTAATTTAAAAATGCGGTGGTTCGTGCGACCCTCTAAAGTTAGATCATCGTCGATATAAACATTAACATTTAAGTCAATGTAAGTACTTGAAACACCTAAAGATCTGATAAGAATGCACCTTGTTCGCAAGTAATTTGCCAATATATATGGGCAATTATTTAGTAATTGTATATTTCATTTGACAGTAATTGAGCAGCCCACTGGAGTTGTCAGACGAAAAAGACAAATGGGTATAGCTGATCGATGTTGCCTTTCAACTTGTGAAACGGCTGAACTTATACAATACTGCTCCGTAATAAAGTAAGTGGTAATTGCATTTTTTGTTCCTTTCCCAAAACTAAACCCCCTGTTGTTTTATTGAAAACACGTGTCGACACGAGTTAGGTATAACAATTATTATCTAAGGAGATTTTTTTTGTGAAAATGGAATGGATTGCACGTTTCTAGTCAAGCAATTCTTGACTTTCTTTTCCACGATTCCAAACCAAGACGCTAATTCTTCTTATTTATTATGTGTTTACTTTTGCTTCTTGATATATATTACAGTAGCTGTTGAAACGTAAAGGCTTTTATAGATACAACAATAATTAATGAATATTTCCAATTTATAGATTAGATTCTCCGCTCGAGCTGACCGACGACCACATGATCGAGGACCGTTCAGTGGAGGCGGCGAGTTCTGTGTCTTCACCGGCCGTGATGGTGAAAGAGGAATCTTCGAGCGCGCGGCGCGAGGTGGGACGCGGTCGCAGTCGCGGGTACGGGGCAAAGGCACGAGGCCGCCGTTGTTGGTGCCGGCGCAAACGGCGCACGGGCCGACGACGAACCTCGCTCATGGGTAACATGGTGTGTCTCACCTTCGCCGCTTACTTGTTCTCTTTCGTTACAAATATTGGTATTAAAATGCCTTGAGTCGCTTTAATAGTCCCGGATGACTTGGTGTCTCAGTACTAGAGCGAGTTTAGAGCTGCCCCTAGGGAAAACTTACCAGATTTTTATTACCATAATAAAAATGAAAAAAAAATCTAATCCTCGTAGGAACCTTAGGCTTCCTTTAAATAAAACACTTTAACAGTTTAGAACGCGGTATAAGTGAATCTTGTTAGAAAATTATTTACTGTGGCAGAAGCCGAAACGTCAGGCAGTAGTTAAAAACAGTTTTCAAATAAGTTTAACTAATATTTTTTGCGTTTTAAACTGTTACAGTGTTTTATTCAAATATATACTACACGCGTATACTACAGACAATATTTAATGTGTGTCCCTCGAATTAATACAATCTTTAGAGTCTAAGAAATGTGTTTTGATATAGTATAATATATACCTGATAAGAACTTCCTCAGTAGTTACTGAGGAAGTTCCGTTCCGTGAGGAAGTTGTTATACCGATTTACTTATATTGAATCGATTATCAAAAGTAATTAAAAACACCACATCCTGGTATTAAGAACCACTTTCAGTGTTAATAACTTAAAGAACGCTCTAACTGTTAAAAATATTACAAAAGTTACTCATCATTTATAACAATATACCGTTTAATACCAGTATTTCTAATGCTTAGTAATCTTAGTCTAGTTAGTTAATCTAGATTATATTTAAAATACTTATTTATTAGGGAAAATCAATTTTAAATGTATTTACAACGTATTTAATTTACGTAACAATTCGCCATTTTTATAAAATTGGACTGAATTGTTATTCTGTAATAGTTATTAAAAGAGAACAATGAAGCGGTTACTAACACTCACACTAACGCTTAAAGCATGTTAACTAACCAATTTCATGTAACAAATCGCATTCATCTCTACTAGCATGAAGTTTCTCTTCATAAAACATCTTTAAAACAAGTTAAGCATAATTATATAGCGCCGGCGTTAGGGTTGAACGTAAGGTCAAAAGACGCAGAATCTTTGCCGACGTTTCGGACCCTCCTATCACCGAAATACATCTACCGTCAATATTGTTATGTTTTGTATATACGCATATGAGTAACGCCGGTTATGGTTCGATTCTTCAGGTGGTTTCGAATACTGGGGCATTAAACTTCATTTAAGACTACGAAATTGTATGATCAATCATCAATGGCTTATCCAAGCATTCATTCAAATAAAAATTCTAATTCCGACATATCGTTATCACAAAAATAACATAACTGTTGACATGGCACAAAAAGTTTATTTTTACTACATGTTATCCAGTTTGCGGGTCATTGATAAAATTTACCTCGACCCCTCGAACCGCCTGATTCAAACAACATTTTTAGCGTGATCGATAAAGATAAAGTCCATCAGTTTATCATAAACTTGTGCGTTTATTTCAGAAACTCGTAAAAAGTGCCGCGCGCGCTGCGCCCGTGGTGGGCACCGTCTCCCCCCTATTAACGTGGGGCAGAACCTTAAACACTGATTTGCCGTCAGCCGAAAGAGACAGATATGCCTACGTAGCCGTTTATTCGTAATTATCAGTGGACAACAAACTATCAGTGCAACTGGACTAAAACCCAAGTTGAAGACTAAATATGGACGAACACATATTTCAAGAATCTGAAAGACAATGCCGGTAAATTATCAGAAAAAGTCCGCATTATCATTTCAGCGAATCGGCTATAGACGCCATCATTTATTAACGCAATGTAGTGTTTAGGAAAATTCTCTAGGATTTTTAAGTTAGCTTGAAAACAAGTTCCTTCCTAGAAATGTGTTCAAGTATTAATTGTTAATCGTCGAAAGTAAATGTTAGTTATAATTAATGTATACATAACAAACCTTACAAGTTAATTAAGTAAGTCTTCAACTATTTTCCAGCATCATTCCAAAACTTCAACATCATGTATCCCATAAGATAGTGTTACACAACCATAATATTATAATAATAATTATTGTAAATATTCATTATGTTTTTAATAGAAAATAGTCCCTACATGTAAAGGCATGGTAATAAATACATAATTTTACTACTAAAATATGTAACTAACACCTACCATATAAGATTTAAAGATCTCTTAAGCATCTGTGATAATCCAATTGATAAAGTAATTCATTAACTTATGAACCCTTAGTAATATCATGTTTGTAGATTAACATATTTCCTTGTCGTGTTTGCAATGCATGTCCGGGTTGAATTAAAATGATATTGTCTATGTATATGGGAGATGACTGATTAAACAAAATGCTGATATAGAGTATTTGTTTTTTTTTCATTGATATTTTAATGAAAAAAAAGTTTATATATTCCAATTTGAACTTTGAATTAGTAAATAATAATAAGGCATTTTTAGGATTTTTCAAACATAACTGTAATATTATTACAAAAAATAAATTATTCTTAAAGTAATTCTTCACTATTATTATTCTCCCTAATGGAGCTCTGTTGTGGGTTGCCATTTGTTTCTTTGTTTGTTTTGTATGTTTGTAGAAAATATCTACTTAAAATCACATATTTTGCCAACAATATTGAGGCTATAATAACAGCTAGTCATATGGCACCGTCACTATTACTATTTTTATTAGAACTTGGATTTTTACTACTCGAGGAATTCTTTCGCATTGGAAGTAAATTAAATCGGAGAGTACTGCCTTTCTGTCTTTTTTGGACAATTGTACCACATGATTGAAGATTTTTTTCCATTACTGAATAAATTCTTTCCTGTAATACAAAAAATAAAATAAGATAAGAGTAACCATAACATTATTATTATTTTCTATCAGGGACACCCTCGGCAGGACAGGTGATCAGTCCACGTTGTCCGCTGACCATTTCACCCATTTCCCCATTTCCTCCTTGCGGAGATTTGGGTCATCCAACTCTTGCATCAACCATAACATACAAATAAATTAACGACATACAACGACATATAGACCATTAAAACCATTTCAAAGTTTTAAGGATTATATCTTAATATGATTTTTTTACATGGAAGTACATACTGGTGTGCAAGTAACATGAAGGAATATATTATATAACTTTTTTTGATCAACAACTTTGCATATTTTAATTGAAAATAAAACACATTTCATGCACAGTTGGCATCAAACATGTAGAAATTTAATTTATTTTCTTACTATATTGATCTTTAAACATCTACTTACAAAACTGGGATTATCTTCTCTCTCATCTCCAGATATAATAACTCTCACTTCATACTGTTTGTCAAGTAATTTTCCAATATTTTTTATTCTTGTCATTAAGTCATGTTCTGCAATTTTTGATGAAAGAGTTAGCAATTTTTGCCCCTTTATAAGGTTATTCTGTTTTGCTTCTAGTTTCTCTTTTCTCCGGGATAATTCTTCTTCATGGTATTCAGCATTAGTCATGAACCTGTAATAAGAACAGTGATTAATTGTTTTAAATATATCTCATAATATAGTTTTAAGTGCTTTGGCAGAAGTAGCGTAAGAGTTTACATGTGCTTTAAATGTCCGGCAGTCTAATATAGAAATAAACAAGGATGGTATACCCTGTGCCTCATTTATTAGGGAACTTTACAGCGGCCACCAGTCCTAGATTTTAACTTTATGGGAGATAAAAACCTTGTTCCACAGTTATGGATACATTTTACTACATATATGATCTAAACATTACACAATCAAGGTGATTAAATTTTGTACATTGAGCCTTCAATATCACAAATAAGTGAACAAATAAGTGAACTGTACTTGTAGACGGGGCGCCGTGTTTTCGAATCTTCATCTTGTATTTTTACCAATTTAAGCTCTCTCCTCGCTGATAGATTTTGTGCACTTTTCAAATCCGTTATCGTAACTGAGTTATCGGTTCCGATTAGAGTAATTCTAGCTTCAATTACTTTCTTCTTAGGAATATTTTTACCGTCAGCTGATATCTTCATGGTTAATGGTCTATAGTCAAGAATTTTTATTATACGATTTAATTTAAAGAAAATGTTCATTTTTATTTACTGTTGATATAAATTTTTGGATTAACTAAATCTCAATAATCTTTTTTTAAAATATATATTGGTATTTCAAATTATCAATTTTCTAAAACTATTGTTCTTCCTAGCACAACATTTGTCAATTGTCACTCTGCCCCTTAAATTACTTATGACACTTCGCTGGTAAAGTAGAAGTATAAATAGGATATGCTCCTATTTTGACCATTCCATAGAAATAACTTGATTAAGTATTTGAAAAAAAAATATTTGTATATAAAAGACCTTCAAGTCTTCGTACTAATGTACTTTTTAAATCAAGCAAATGTTATAAATCGATATATTTTTTCTATGGATTGAACGACCTTTTCATGGCTTTGACGTTGACAGTTCACATAATAAATTGAACTGACAGTTGTTCAATCTATCGTACGTGAGTTCTGCGCTCCCAACTTCTTCTTGTTTTGACAGCCAAGCCGCTATAATGGTTGGTGTTCGTAAAATTTAATCTTTAATTATTTGAGTGATCCTTTATGTGTTTCATTATTTTAGAATAATTAATCGGGATATTATTTTTTCAGTCGGCCCACAAGACATTTATTATTAAGCGGAAACTTGCTAAAAAGCTTAAACAAAATCGGCCCATTCCACAATGGGTTAGAATGCGTACTGGAAACACTATTCGGTAAGTTAATAACTTGGTTGTGTACATTGTATTAAGTTAATATCGTAAATATTATGTCCAGAATGCAGCAAGTATGTCGTGTAAATACGACATGATAACAAAAAGTAATGTCAAATGTGACTTACATATTTCCTATCTAACGTTTATTTTATTGTAAGTTGTTGTTCAAGCATGTGATTCATTAGTTTACCCATAATTTTTGACTATGACTGAAGTTAAATAACCCTATACGATAGCAAGCATTAATTGATTATGCTCTGTATAACCTCGTAAATAAATTCTACTGTACTCGTATCCATGTTCCACATAACACAAAGCATTAACGAGGCAGCCAGCTGTTGGAAACAGACACTAATATAATCAAATATGAAGATGTTATGCCCTTAGAAATTAAGTCAATTATTTTAATATGTAGTATATAATTCCTATTGTTTCTTTTAGATACAATGCCAAGAGGCGTCACTGGAGGAGAACTAAGCTCAAGTTGTAAGCTGCGTCTTGTATCTGTTAAGTCAATAAAAAATCTGGAGAAAATTTAAAGAACCTGTTTTATTACAATTCAAATGCAGTTGACTTTGGTAATGTTATTAATCCATAAGTAAGCTTGTTGACTAACTCTTAATATGTTAAGATATATGTATCACTTTCGGAAGCGTAGCTAGATTGACAAGGGCCCGGTAAACCGGTCAGGTAAACCTAATCCTACTGCCTAAGAAAGAATCTGTCCCTTATCCCCTCTTTCAGCCTAGCTTGAATTAACTGAACCTCCAACATTATAATTAGCAACGAGAACATTTAAAAAAATCCTTTTCTTCTACAGTTATACCTACTCAAAGATATGGTTAAAGGGCCTCTAATTTCGCCCCACCTGGCCCTACGATAGCTACACCACTGATCACTATAATATTATGCTAAAGAATTATCTGTGTCAAAGATAGACTTCATAATGAAACCTTTAGATTTTTCTTATATGATAGAAGAGTAGTATAAGGTCCATTAGTTAACAGTGAAATACTGCAGCCCTATAGTCTCACCTAGCTGTGCTTTGTTATACCTTTTGCTCAGGATATCCTTAGACAAGCAAAAGTTTGAGTAAACTGTGATAGACAGTAGTTTGTTACTCGAACTGAATTTCTCATTTATATCCACATAAAAGTCAACATGCTGAACCATTATGATTGTAAGATGTTGTGTGCGGCCCAATATCTTTGATGATGATTAAGCTAAGTGTTTTAATAAAATGTGTACTACTTTATCTAGGGAAAAGGAAGTACTTAAAACCATAAACAGTTTGGAACTAGTGGGATCAAACTCACAACCAACAGACCAGTTAAGTCTTGTTGTTTGAGGCTATGCTTTTAGTAAATTAATCAGAATTACAATAATGTGTAGGTAACACATATGGACTTACGAGATTGATATAACTATTGCTGACCTGTACTATGAGCAGGCTCCATAAAAAAGCAGTATTATTATAATTGTTATGTTCCCTAATAAAAGAAAGTGTGGTATAAACAATATCTATACATGGTTTAGAAAGAAGTATTCTTTTAAATAAAACACTTTAACGGTTTAAAACGCGATATATTAGTTAAACTTATTTGAAAATGATTTTTAACTTCGGCCCGACGTTTCGGATGCTTTGCAGCAGCCGTGGTCACGGGGAGACTAAAGATGGAGGATGTCTCAGACGTCAAAGTAAAGAATTGCTACGCTAGCGCCATCTGTTCCGTCGAAGTTGGTATTTGGCGAAACTGGCCGGGTCCTTACAGAATTGACTAACGGTGTCTTCGCGTTTGCTGGTATGCTGTTTATTGGGATCCAGAGTTTTTAATATGGGATCCCAGGTGTTTGATAGTTTGAGGCCGTCCTCCCTATTGAAATTTCGGTGTTTTTTGATTTCAATTGCTTCGCGTACCAATCTTGGAAAAAATCGACTCTCCTTTGCGAGGATTTTTGGTTGGTCAAAGCGAATTAATTCGTGATGAACACGGTAATATTGGGCATACCGTCTTTAGAAAAACAACCCATACAGATAGGTATTTGAACGGTGACTCACATCACCACCCCAGCCAACTTAGTTCTGTCGGAGTATCTTTGTTTCAGAGAGCCCGCCGTCTCTGTGATGCTGCCCACTTAAATGAGGAGTTACAGCATGTCAAGCAGGTCCTATGCAAGAACAAGCTGAGAGTCCCTCCGCAGCATCCCAGGAACAGGAACAAGCCACCCACAGTCAAACGTCAGCCCGCCTACCTACCATATGTGAAGGGAGTTACAGATAGAATTAGCAGAGTCCTAAATCGAGCTTCTATTGACACAATTTTCAAGCCGCACAAGAAGATTCAGCAATTCCTGAAACCAAGCAAGTGTACTATCCCTTTACAAGATGCAGGCGTTTACAGACTGGATTGTGATTGTGGCCTATCCTACATCGGCCAAACAAAGCGTAGCATCTCAAACAGAATTAAAGAACACGTCGCGGATATAAAACATAAACGTCTCTCCAAATCTGCGGTATGCCAACACTCATCAGAAGGGCCCAATCACTACATTCGCTTTGACCAACCAAAAATCCTCGCAAAGGAGAGTCGATTTTTTCCAAGATTGGTACGCGAAGCAATTGAAATCAAAAAACACCGAAATTTCAATAGGGAGGACGGCCTCAAACTATCAAACACCTGGGATCCCATATTAAAAACTCTGGATCCCAATAAACAGCATACCAGCAAACGCGAAGACACCGTTAGTCAATTCTGTAAGGACCCGGCCAGTTTCGCCAAATACCAACTTCGACGGAACAGATGGCGCTAGCGTAGCAATTCTTTACTTTGACGTCTGAGACATCCTCCATCTTTAGTCTCCCCGTGACCACGGCTGCTGCAAAGCATCCGAAACGTCGGGCCGAAGTTAAAAATCATTTTCAAATAAGTTTAACTAATATATCGCGTTTTAAACCGTTAAAGTGTTTTATTTAAATGTGTACTACTCGCGTAAACTATAGAAGTATTCTTTGCCAATTGTAAGTTATTCCATCTATATGTGCCTACTGTTACCAGTATTCATTTGATGCCAAAATTTAGAAGTAATTGCAAGATTGACAAAATGCTAATATTCTAATTAAAATATGTTTAAAAATTTAGAGTTCAACAATGTAGCTGGTGATTACTTAAAACTATTGTAGCTGTAATTTTATTTCTTTTTTAATAGTAATAAACTGACATAATAATTTGCAGGATAAATGCTAGTAGTAACCACACATATTTATGTATGTTTAATTTTGTCAGTATATTTACATTTGTTTACAAAAAATATAACCACCAAGTCTCCCCGTGACCACGGCTGCTGCAAAGCATCCGAAACGTCGGGCCGAAGTTAAAAATTATTTTCAAATAAGTTTAACTAATATATCGCGTTTTAAACCGTTAAAGTGTTTTATAAAAAAAAAAACAAGAAAATGTGGGTTGGATTGTTGTAGAAATTCAAGGTCCAAACAAAAATAAAAGTTGGTGAAATAGTGCATTGTGTTGCATTTAATCCTTATTCACATTATATACACAAAAGTAACTTGATTTAAAGCGGTTCTTAATAAATAGTGTAAATTATCACAATCATTAATACTGGAATGCACTCGAGAAAATCGATCCATAAAAATATTAATCATGATCAAGTTGTGTTTTCTGTACTGTCTTCTTGTGTTAGCTTTGCTTGCATTTTCATTAGTTCTTCTAATAGTAAATCTGTATCTAGAACTTCTCCACTTCCAGTTTGCTGAAACAAAGTAAAAGTTTTTGAGTTATTTACGGACACAGTTTCACTCGATGGAAGTTGAAAATGATCCAGATATATTAACATTGTATTGAAATTAACTTTGTTAAACTTAATTGCCTTTAGGAATTCAGAAAAGTATAGATTGAATGTATTAGTTAACTTATTTTTGAAATACGACCCGACGGACATTTCCAATGTTTTGCAGCAGCCGCAGTAATGGGCCCCAGTAAATGTTTCAATTTAAATGATTACTACTCGTTCTGTGTAGACTACAGACTGTTTATTACAGACAATACTAAGAATACTTCAGTGTATGTGATGTTATTTGTCTGTTAATCTATATCTTAACTAAAGTTATCCAGCGCAATATATTATAGTATATCCTTCACAAAGGTAAGTTCAGATCATGTATCATGATATTTAGGAGTTTTTGTACTCCAGTACTTTAAACAAAATTACCTGTTGTGCGCTCACGGATCTCGCCATCAAACGCTGTAAGTACTTGTCCCTTCGGTGCTGTTCGCGCACACTGCGAAGGCGATTGAAATCGTCGTCATCCTCTCCACCATCAACTTCATCCACTGTAAAACAATTGTTAGATGTTATTAAAGTTGCTAATCAATATTTTGGAAATTTTGTAGAAACAATATCGAAATTCAGTCTGTGACACCAAACCACTGTTTACAGATAAAAACGCGTTAAGTGTAGAAATGTTAGATTCATGTATTTCTTTTAATTCGTTTAAATGAAATAGCTATTTTTATAAACAAGCGATTTTACTTAAGTGAATATCTCCTACGGATTAGGTCAAGTAAAAAGCCTTACACAAAGTCTGACTGCCCGCTGCGCTCAGCGAAGGCCCGACGTCGCTGTCCAACCTCGGACGGTCCATATCTGAGAAGGAACCTTGCGTAGACAGACTTTTAGCAGCCGGAGTTCTCTGTCCCGCTTCTGTCGACTCCACCCGCGACCACTGGTTAGGAGCTGAAGTTGATAGTCGCGAGTCTTCTGAAATATTTTTTATTACTTTTTTTTCGATACTCAAAAAGGAGGATTCAATTCGACATCTCTGTGTAATATTCACCTCAGTTACCACCAGATATAGTGATGTTTTGAAAACTTTAAAATATTTTACATGATGGCACTATATAGATTAAAAATCTAAAATAAATTGTAAATGCATGTATATATAAGCTGAAAAATTCGACGATCAGGTGTGTTCCTCTAACCAATTGACTCGGTAGCTCAATTGGTTAGAGCAACGGCGAGGAATGATGACGACGCTGGATCAATTCCTGCCCAAGTACAAATATTTTTCAATTAATTTTTGATTTTTAATCTTTATGGTTAGTTTTGTTTATTTATCCCCATTTGAGAACAAGATTTTTATGTCGGTTTTAGTAAAATATAAAGGCTCGTTCACCTTATTATAGAAAGCATGTACATATATAGTGTTTACCTAATGCAAAACGATAACCCCCTTTTCTATATACACATCAGATATTAAGAAATTTTGATATCTAAAGATAAGATTTTGCACTTCAAGATATTGATAGCACAAGCAATGTTTGCAAATAAATAAGACAAGGTTAACGACATTGCGCCGAGAGGTGTCACGGCATCACTTGTGTTGTTTAACTTTTAAATTTATCAATCTTGAAATTATAACTGGCTCTTAATTTTTCTACTAACTTACAATCAGTAGAAAAGTTTAAATCCTGTTATATTTTGACACTTTTTTCAACTTATTTAGCTATATTTAAGTAGCAGCAGTCAGAAACATCGTCCATCTTTAGTCTCCCCGTGACCCCAGCTGCTGCAAAGCATCCGAAACGTCGGGCCGAAGTTAAAAATAAGTTTAACTAATATATCGCGTTTTAAACCGTTAAAGTGTTTTATTTAAATGTGTACTACTTACGTAAACTATAGATAGTATTTATTTAGCTATAGTTTTCAGATAAAATTCCAATTACTAGTTTTATCGTGGAAAAGTAAGAATGGTTCTTACAAAATTTTGAGTTTATATGTCAGGTGCTATATGTTAAAAATATCAAGCGAAAGGGGTCGACGTCCTTAGCCAAGGGACTGTTATTCAGGAAATCCGTTGTCCGTTTCGGCTATGGACAATGTGTACTAAAAAATTTATTAACAATCTGCGTAAGAATGAAAACGGCAATGTATTTTATTTTACGTAAGTAACGTTTTTATTTTACCATTAATATAATTATCACAAAAAGCATTATACTGTCTCAAATTATATTCAGAACATTATTTTGCATAAATTAAACTTTCTTATTCATTCTATAGTCAAATAACGCATTTTCAACGAAATTCTTTTATATTTCAAAGAAGTGAGATTTTACAATAGGAAACATTTTTCTTCTCTTTTAATTAATAGCAGGTCATGAGGTCCAAAGTCAGACTTTTGGCTCGGAGGAAATGTCATAAGTGTCACCTGTGCCTCAGACAGAACGATAAGTAGTCAGGCCACTGATTTAGTGGCGGTCCTGAAACACCGCCTACGATCTCTGTTCTATTACCCCATTGACATAAAAGCTAAGTAAGTAGCCAGGACATCAATAGGTTGAAATTGTTGAAACGAATGAGTATTAAAATAAAACTTACTTGAAGGTACGTGGTTAGAATTTCTTGACGGAACAGTCACTGGGTTGCTTGGAGTCGGTGGGCCCTGCGCGAATACACTCATAGCTGTAGGTCTGGAAATAGAATAATGCGCATGGATTAAAAACAAAGTGTCGCGTTTTCGCTAAGAGGGTCATACACAAATTTATATCGCACTGGTAGATATTATTTATAGACGATAACTAGGTGTGGCCGCGACTTCGTCCACATGGAATACTTAGTGGAATAATTTTGAGGCATTACAAAACCTCTTCAGCTTCTTTAGTTATAGCTGTTATCCACGACGTCGTAATCGTCCCGTCGTTCTTGCGAGTTAATCTTAAGTTACACAAATACTGTCGCGGATGTATTTTGGTTTCTTGAACCGACATTTGGACTATCCAACGCGTAAAGAACAATTCGAACCAGTAGTTCCTGAGATAAGCGCGTTCAAACAAACTCTTCAGCTTTATAATTTTAAATATTAGTTAGATAATCATTCTCTCCCTGCCTGACTGTAATATTTTTTTTTTTCACGGAATTCGAACTAACAATGACCTACAAATATGTTGGACATAGATATGGACTATTATCTACAGTTTCCTGAGCAACATTGAAATATCATATGTACGTCAAACCTATATTGGGACTACAAATAGAGAATATTCTCAGTGTCCGACAATGACACAAGTCTGAGGTTTAACAGCACTTGAATTGTGTGCAAGTAGTCGGCAAAATTAACCAAATGTAATAAAAATAATGCATGGTCTTACGTGGTTTATGATTCTCGTGATATAGAGTACGAGAATTTATGGGTAACATGTGTTTATGTAAGACTGTCGTGATGAGACTCGTTTATTTGTAGAACCTCGCCTTATCTATTGTACCTTCAGCAAACAAACTTATATTAGCGTCCGCGCTAGAAAAAAAAATGTATCGGAACATAACTTATTACTTATATATTGTAACTCTTAAGAAGATTAGTACGCAAAGTGTGACCTGTAAGTGTACCCCTGTACGGATTGAAATATTTCAAATTTGCAAATAAAGACATTTGTATGCGACCACAAACCGTTTAAGGTTATAGTCTTAGTTACTTAGTTTACGCGAATTCTATAAATTTAAAGAAAACATTTTAACAGTTTAATTTGGAAATAATTCAGTAGCGAAATATATTACTTCAGTCCCCCGAGTCCGTGGCTCCTGCAAGGCAGCCCAAACAAAAGTTAAATAAAGTAAATAATATATTTCGCGTTTTTAAACCGTTAAAAGTGTTATATTTAAACAAAACATTTAATAAAAAATGTTTGCCTCGAATACTTCCCTTTATTACCTCTTGTAAAATGATAATAAAGGGAAGTACAAACTCTTTGTTCCCAGCTCAGGTTCAAGGTCAGGAAAGTCATTTATTTCAAGTTTTTCGGGTCGATGTCACCGCTACGTATTAATTTACGCATGAAAATTAGTGTTATTAGCACTTTTTAGTATTCTACGGTACAGTGCACTAAGCATGCTATTATAAGTAGGTATACTTTTTTGTGACAAAGATAGAAAAACTTTGGGTTTATTTGATAGAAGAAAGCCCCAACCATATAATAAGTAACGTGTTTTAGCAAAATTTGCGGTTGGGAATCAAACCCAATACCCGTTGGTAAAACAACTTAGTACCGACATTATTTTTATATCCGGTTCCGGATGTTAACAAGGTAATTTAATACAACTAAATACTAGCATATAAAAATAGCATAGCTACATAGGATTGACATAATTGTTACAGAGACGTGCTACTCAATAATTACTATAATGATCGTTTACTACTTGTTCATAAGAAACCTCTATACATTAAATGCAACGTCTAATATAAAAGCAACTGACGCAAGCTCAATTGAATAAAAGGCTTGTTAATTAACCAACATCACGCTATATGTTATGTGAACAAAAAAATAATGTTCATACAGCTTTTAGATAGCAGATTTAGTCGTATAGTTTCTACTGTTGTTTTACTTTTGTAAATACGTTTCTTTTAACAAGGGAATCGCAAAACTAATATATAGTATATCTACGTAACTACCTACTACGGATTAAGGCTGCTCAAAATCTCAATCTCAACTGACACAAGCCGTTTTTTTTTTTTTTTTTTTGTTCTGTACCGATGTCATAACAAAAATATGTTCTTATACTCCTAATATAATAAAATAATAAATAAATTTAAAATACAGTGTATATTAAAAAGGTTACTACATAAAATGTATGTAAGTAGTAACCTGGCGAAAGTTACGGAACCCTTCGTGCGAAATTCCGACTCACACTTAGCCGATTTATTTGCTATCGCACTTCAGAACTTCCTAGATCAGAATCTTTATACTAGAATTCACTTACAATCACAATCGTATATTTACTTGTTAATCAATATCCTATGCAATATCCATTTCATGCACATAATTACGCTTGTAACAGTCTATTCGGCCTCGTCCTAATAAAATGACAAATACTGAATCGTTAAGGAAAATAAATACTCAATTTTTCTTCCCTTGTACAAATGCGAACACATGTTGTGCTATTTCTATTGACCAAGATATAAAAAGGATATAATATAAAGTGATTTTAGTAGTTTATGTTGTGTTTTTCTATAATTTAATTAATACATAGTTTTAATATAAAGACATTTTTCCGCGGACACAAGTAAACACATTTCCTAGCATTGCGTTAAGTGTGACAAGTCCTGGATTCGAATCTCGGGAAAACAACATTTCGGTTCTTAAAATGTAACCCAAGTTGTACGCGTTTAAAACGCGAAGTATTGTAGAAAATAAATTTAAAACCATGGCGATCGGACGAACGACACGTCCCCGTGGTTCTTACGTCATTGTGTATTTTATGTATATGTATATAGATATCATGTATATTTTAGTATTTCACTTTCTTAAACGGTAACAATGGACGATATATCTCATCAAGATCACGTCGTTCAATACTCATGATAATAGAACGTAAGTCTATAAAATTGTAATAACGAAACACAATAGTTCATTAGCAATGCTTACGAGAACTATGAACGACGGAGTCTCTATCGGTATAATTAAAGTTTATATTACCGTAATTAATAGTTATGGAACGGTACTATACTGTATAGATAGTACCTATAGATATAACTGAAGTATTGTGTGTAGTTTACGCGTGTAGTACACATTAAAATAAAAAACTAACAATGACACCAAATGTATTAGTTCATTCATTTTAGCTACGGCCTGACGTTTCGAATGCTTTGCCAGCCGTGGTCACGGGGGGACACGGGAAACGTCACACATGGGCCGTAGTAAAATTTTTAAATGAGCTAACTATTAAATTTCGCCTTTAACCCGATAAAAATGTTTTATTCAGATATAACTGAATTTAAATTGTCTACTCCTAATGGGATTATGTCTGCAGTCTATGGACACGTGTTCACTATCCGCATTGGTTATAACAGAACGAATGAACAATTTTGTATTACGAATATATCCGACATCAAATAATATTGAGGAATGGGACAAGACAAGACCAATGTAGTATTTGAACCAACACTAATTTCTTGGGAGCTGCCCCCTACCCCCGCCCTACTCTCAACACATTCTGATAAGGAATTGTCAGTTACAAAATAATTATCATTATGACGTCACTATCAGTCAGATGTTTTCTCGAGTTACGTAACATTCCTAGACATTATGCTCCAAGTACCTATGCGCATCTTATACAAGGTCAAAGCCAAGCCGCATATAGGGAAACATTTCCAACAGTTGTACTACTTATCGTTTACTTATATGTGTCAGCTTGGAACAGTATTAGATTATTTAATAGTATTCAAATTAAATATGAAAAAGTGTGTTCAGACGAAAATGCTTTTTTTAAATAATCTAGCCTTTTATTGGTATCTTAAATTTGCGTGGTACTTACTGCTTTGTACATATGATTTCCGGTCAAAGAACGATTTAATACTTTGAATGCAGTTTTCATTCGTTTCAAAGTCTTCTTCGTAAAAATATCGATATCAGTAGCATTTACCTTGGTTACCTTAGTCCAGGGATGCACAGACTTATGAAGACTAGGTGCCACTCGTGCAAATCATGAACTGATGGCTGGCCGCCAGAAGTATAGGTAAGGAAAGACGATAAAGAATTGATAATAATGAAAAATAATTTATTAATTTGAGTATTATTTTTGCTGTCGGCTGGCCAACAGTATTCGACCAACGCGGACTATGTATATCTAAGTCCCTTCAAAGATATCAGCTATGGGTGTTCGAAGGATTAAAACGATCACCTACCTGGTTTCGGGCCGTTTTCCCATGCTGGTGATAGTGGCCTGTTCATCCACTTCTTCGATCACTTCATTAGCAATCTTCATACTGCCGCTCATGGCGGCCACGGGTCTGTTCAAGGTTGGATTACTGGCTGATACTTGGAATCGTGAACCTGCAATGTCAGAGAAATGATTAAGAATACGATAAAACATTAAAGTATTTAAAAAAAGGAAAAGAGAAAAATTTGCATGATTTTGTTGTTATTATAAAAGCCCACTTTAAGAAGACGAGTACTGTCTGTAGTTTAAGCGAGTAGAACACATTTACATAAAACACTTTAACGGATTAAAACGCGATATATATTAGTTAAAATAATTTTCAAATAAGTTTAACTATTATATATCGAGGTTTTACACCGTTGAAGTGTTTTATTTAAAAGAAGAGGAGTCTAAAGAAGATTCTTTACTTGAAAGTTATAAATAAAGGAAGTTTATAAAAAGACAAGTTTCCATTGTAAATAAAGGTACATTTTTAATAGCTAGGTATAATACTTTCTGTTGCAAATTAAACACGATTAAATTGAATAATGTTTTAACTCGAATCTAGGAATTCAAACATATAAGACACCTTTAATAAAACTTATGACTAAAAATAGAGAAAATAAAAACTGCAAAATCACTCGAGCATCAAAGAAAATTGCTATAAGTACAATAAATGTTTATCTTTGTGAGCAGCTGAATCACTAAGCGAGTCATTTGTTCAAAAGTCGTTTACAAAAACGATCTTTGTAGCCGCCTTGCGCATGATTAGATCGTATCTATGAATCCTTGGAAACGTGTTAATGTCTTTAAATTCTCTGCGTTCACGGTGACAGGCTCATTGGTAAAGCCGTAGCAATGTGTGGGTCATACACAAATGGTCCATGGGTTCGGTTCCTACCGAGTTATTTCTGTTTTTATATATAGTTTATTATTTTAAACTTAATGGGAGGTGGAACCCACTACAAAGCAATCGTCATTATCAACTTTGTCTACAGTTTTTTGGCATAAATAAACTTACCGCCATCCGTCTGCGATGGTATTGCAGTTCGTTGATCCTCTTTTGAGAAAAGTCGCTTAAGCATAGATGTAACCGAATTGGCTCTAGTCATAGGTGTCTGCTGCAGTGAAGCCATGGAGTTGCTTGATCCCATAGAATTCCTTTCATCTCGCTTCCCCCGCTTACTTCCCCTGGACACGATGAAGTGTATTCCCGATTGTGCGTCGTCATTCATTTGTAATTGCTAGATGGATGATGGGAATATTAATGTCACTGTTGATTCATTTTACTTGACAGAGATGTGCGTGGAAGAATGTGCAGATAACATTACTTCTTAGAATCTTGTCGTGTAGTAACACTGATTCTTATAAATTATATAGACGTAGATAAATATGTAACATGATACATGGTTAAACAAACAATACACTTATGACCTACAACATAAATGGAGCATCATTTACAGCTCACTCCTTACAATAACATCATATTGCATTAGCTTCCAAATCGAAAGAGAGAGAAAATATTAGTGCAAGACTAAGTCCTAGAAAAGCCAGAAGGAAAGATCTCATTAGAACTAGAACACTTTATCAAACACCCAACAATTAGATAACACAAAACAAATGAAGTTAATAACCAAATTAAATAATTGTTAGAACCTGCTAAATCTTACATGTTACGTTAAGTCAAACTAAATTCTAATTTCTGCTTATTCTATCTGTTAATGCATTATCCCCTCTTTAGTAACTAATTCCCTAATGTCCCCAACCATACTCCTCAGTAAGTATATTCTATTTGCCGTTAGTTACTCTAAAGAGCTGCCAATATATATTTTTTAAATCTTTCTGTACAATATCAGACGTTTGTGTCGGGATTAAAGCATTTTTAATCAAAATATATCATCAAGATTAGCGGAAAATGATATAAAGTGGTATTGTACTGCAGCCATTGTATATTTGATAATAATTTATAGCTACGATAAAATCTTTTCCGTAAAGCATTAAATGTATATTTAACTACTTTTGTTTAATTATGTTTTTTCTATATCAAAGAATGACTGAAAAGTACGGGGCTCACTTGATGGGAGGAGAAATACCCTTAACAACATCTAATTAAGATGATTTCACAACGCATTATATCGGCTATGAATAGTCGAAGATCTTAAATAAACCTAAACTTCACTGTCAATCAGATGTCAGATGGACTTGGACGGTGGATCATGATGTCGGAATTTTAATAATCCTACCAGCTATTGAATCTTCAAAGTCCCAGTCAGATCCCCCCAACTGGAAATCGGATTATGTGAGTGTCCAAGTCCATTGGACCAACGAAATAGGTATTTCAGATTAATTACGAACCAATTTCCACAACCTACACATACCCTTTCCGACACAAAGATAAAGAGCATTTTGGCAACTTTGGCAACCCTTTACAACACACTGCTAAGCTCCACATTTCCGAGCGTGCAGCATGCTTATAACTTGACGTATCTAACCTCGGGCGGGGCGAACTTGTAACTCACGGTGTTTGATGGCATCATTTCATCGATTTTCACGCTGGATGGGTTCACGGTAACCATACTGCGTTGCCGTGGTGGCACGGAAACCTTCGCGGTAGATGGTTCTGGATGTTCCTCGCGCTGGTTTTCTGTGGCTATGGTATAAGGCAGCTCAGATGGGAACACCTCATCCCAATATTGATCCTTGATTAACTCTGGATGCTCATGGTGCATTTCATCCACAATCATATAAGAGACCTAAAATAAATAACGTTTGAGTCGAAATTATCAGCTAGCACTGCGATTAGAAATCACTATTATTATTATTATTTTTGCTTGATGACTGCACAACCAAAAGAAAGGAAATCGCCTAAAAAATGAGTCGATTTCAATAAACAGGGGATCCAACATTTCATAAGAGTCATGCTAAAATTATGTACGTTCGTTTCGTTTAATTAAATAACGCTGAATTAAAAGCTAAAGGTCTGTAAAGGTAAGCTCATTACGAGTAATATCATTTTTGTATATATGAAAATACATTTTAAGTCAATACTTGGTCGAGTTGTGGTGTCATAAACTTTACTAGAATACCTGCAAATTCCTATCAATAAGCCAATTGACTTCAAAATCGTCATCATCTTCGCCGAATGGATTGATGAGAGACTCAGCCACTTTTAGCCAACCCATATAGAAAAAGAATTCCAGTGTAGTGAATATGGGAAAATAAAGGTCTATATTACTGATATAGACAGATTCACTGTGTGATTGCAATTTGTGGTCGACCCACTGACTGCCCAGTGCAGAAGTTATAAAATATGAGTAAACTGCTATTGTCACAACCTGAAACATTAAATAGTTTGTAGTGACAAAAGAATGTATCCAAGTGCCTACTTTATATATATTTTTTTATGATAGAGAAGGGGAGGCAAGTATGTCCACTTGATGGGAGGTGAATTAAATTTCACGGCTGTGACATCTGTGAAAGGTGGGATATTCCTACCACCAATTTAATAATATGGTTAGCAGACTTGACTTTTTAAAGTTCAGGTTTTGATTTTTGTGTTGGGGAATTTTTCTAATCAATCAGTCAATATTTCCATTTTACTCCCTGTACCAACTTTACTACCAGCTTGAAGTTTGAAAGAAGATGTTCTTACTCCCGAGCCTTAGGGCGTTAAGACGTCGATCCCAGTTACCATCAAAATGAAGTACTTCAAAACCCGCAATTTGGACTGCAGCAGCGCTGTTGGTCTAAGCTAACTAAGGAACTACCTTCAATATGACGTTTTAAGGAAAATGATTTATGTTTAGGCCAATAAGCAAATTAATAATTTTCCCACATAATTTTCCTCGAACCAATTAAAATAACGCAATAAATCCTGAAACAGTTCCTAGAGCGTTGACCTTTTTAATGGAATTAATTCGTGACAAGAGCTCGTGAACGCATTACTAGCAAACTAATAGATGTTTGTAGGTATGTATTTGGTACGTAATAAAATTCGGGCCTCGGAACACATCATGAATGATTCAGCATTAGTGTGATCCGGCTATTTTGTAATTTCATAGGTTTGCTTTACCTGTTTGCGTAATTACTTGTTTCCAGGGGTACTCAAACCTTTTTTTAGGTACTTTATTATATTGCTTTAAAAAACTTCATTAAACAATAAATATGTGCACGGTAAGATAGTACGAACAGTTTTACTTCATAACTACTATATACGTATTATAATTTACCTAAAATAATTTATGTCGTGCATTTGGTCTTACCTGCGTATACACAAGCGGTACACTAATAGTGTCATAACTAAGAAGCAACCCAGCTTGCCCTCTGAACTTGTTGAGTTCATCTATTATTGTCTTAACCGCAAAGTCGTCCCTTATTCTACCCTCTTTTCGAGCCCTCGTGACAATACTCGTCGCCCAAACTATTGGTAACCTGGAAGCTTTAAAACATCACTAAATCTGGAAGGATTCCTAGTCTAGACATCGATAAAGCAATAAGCTGGTGCGTACTTTGTATGTTAATTTATTATCCACCCTGGTGCTGCAATGCCACAATAGTTCGTTAGTGACTTTGACACTTACACTTGGCTATAATCAGCGTATGATAACTTACGGTACTAAAAAGATTTCATACCAATGTTTAGACGGTTTAGGAAACTTTTTATTAAGGTGCTCTAAAATAGTTTTTTCATTGTCTAACAATAAACCGGCATCGACTAGATTTTCAAGAGTTGGAAAACGTTTCTTAACCCTCGGAGAGATCATGGTGAGAACCATTGTTAAGCAAAGGCACACGTATCGAAGAATTGTACGGCGCATAAGGCGCCCTCTTTCGTCCTGAAATAAAACATGTTAGTTTGAAAATCTAAAATAAATTGAAAAAAAAAATCGACTCGGGCAGGACTTGAACCGGAATCGTCAGCGTTTCGCGCTGTTGCTCTACCAATTGAACGCTGACGATGCCGGTTCAAGTCCTGCCCGAGTCGAAATTTATTTTAATTTATTTTCGATTTTTAAATTATATAGTGTTTTCATATGCAATGACATGTAAAAAAATAATAAAGTTTTCAAAACATGTTAGCTTAGATCGAAGTAGGCTCGGATGTGCATATTCCACAAGATGAAAACCAATCAAGTGCAAGTTAGTCTCCCGCTTGAAGATTTCGAACTTAATAAATAAGTAGAGTATACATAATATTCTGTTATTTCGGAGGGTTCCACAATAATAATAATTTAATATTAACATAATTATATTTTAACATGATAGTTTATTTACAAATAATATTCTGTGAACATCAAGCGTCGGCCTTCTGTAGTTATTGAGTGACAAATGAACTATGCCGTTTTAGTTATAGTCCCATTATCATCGGGTAAGAATTGGAATTCCGGTATCGCATTAATTCATAAAAAAAACATAGTCGCATTTTAGCCTTTGTGTACATAACCCTAAAAATCACAAGTACTACAACTTGATTAACACTACGAAACGAAGAGACATAGAGGTAGGTAATTGCCAAGCCTATAAACAGATCCATTGTTTTCTATAAGACCTACGTTTACGGTTACAATGCCATCGTGCCATCCATCGTGTTATCAACTTGTGATGTATTAAGATAACATACAACCCGAAACAATGTAAACGAGACGTTTGTTATCACTGATAGCGTAGTGATAACGATTAAGAAAATACGAAAATAATTTCAACGCACTTAGCAAATGTCCATCATGTGTTGAATGAATGTTTGCTGCGGAAATGATGTCATTTTGTGTGGGTTTCCATGTATTAGGTTAAATAGTTCTGTCTGCATTTTGGCGAGTGGTACACATTTAATAAAACACAGTGAAACAGTTTAAAACGTGACTAATAGTTTTTTTAACTATTAGTTTTTCGCTTTAATGCATCCGGAGCGTCCATTCATAGTTAAAAATAAATTTACTAATATATCACCTCGTGTTTATCCGTTTATCGTATTTTATTCGATAAATTCGCTCTGTAAATTGCGTAGATATACCTACGCAGACCAGTATAACAAAATTGTATAACTTGCCAAATCAAAAAAACATATCAAAATTTAATTTGTGTTACATGTAATAACGGTCAGTTCTTTGTCGTCCCGTCTGTTTGTAACGGGCCTACGTGATACCTAATTATTTTTAATCTAAATCTAACTCACTTGTCCATGGATGGATGCTGACACGAAAACTGCAATTGAGTCAGGCCACGGTATAGTCGTGTATTGATTCCACCATCGATTCATCACAACAGTTACATAAAAACCGAGCACAAACGACAACGGAATAACATTTCCGTGAAAACTGCAATAGTTAACTACACCTTCAAACGTTCTGAAAAGTAAAAACCTAAATTAAACCCGCCATCTTTGTTATACTCTCGTCGTAAATTTAAATGTATTGCTTAAATTTCCCTTAAACATTTGAATTCCTAGGTAATATCATCAGGCAGGGTAAATAAGTCTGAGTATCAGTAAATAAAAATCATCAGTGAAACAGGTAAAGAAATGTATCTTTTGTATGATAAAGGAGGACAGACAAGCATAGGGAACACTTGATGGTAGGAGAAATACACCGGCCATATAACATTTAGACATGATGCGATGTCGACCTATTTTGGCTTAGGATATTTGAAAACCAGACTGAAACCGAAACGCGATTAACCTTTACGGCTTTTTCGTGTGTGGACGGTGGTTCGTGAAACCGACGGAATTTCGATATGTTCAGAGACAAACGGTTGTCTTTGATTACCATAAAAATCGCTTTAATAAGAAAGAAGATAAAAATTAACACACCTTTTCGATTCTGCATCCAAAAGCAGCCGATATATTAGATTTAAAACATAATATAAAAGTAGAAATACAAGGAGATCTAGCCATATTAATTTGTAAATACTTCCTCGCCATCTGTAAAACATTACAACATTGTAACGATAGTAACATTCATTTTAATAATAGAAGTTCCCAAGCGAATGATAAAAGTAGAAAATGACAGCTGTTTTATTTTGTTTTGTATACAATTCCATGCGTTTATTTATTTCTATACCACCTGGATAATTCTTTGCGTGCTTAGCTTGACTAGAGTAAAAAACATATGAATCGTGTATCTATGTCAATTGTACACCGAATGATTTAATAAAGTTTGTATAATTTATAGTAACCTACCACAAGAAATTAATTCAAATATCCATGTCAAGAACTTTACACTTGGTACAAGTGAATAAGTCACAAGAATTACTGTATCAGTATTTCAGAATAAAAGATATATTATGTACATATAAATATTAGGTAAGGATTTTGACAGTGATATATCTTCGTGACATACTGGAAATTACATGTGGATACGATGTAACGATGCAAAATCTTATTGTGCTAATCGATTCGTAATTATGGCGCGAATCACTTAGTTATAGGAATAAACTCAGTTTTACAATCTCTGTTTGGTAACAAAAGGCGTCTTGAGAAAAGCAGAGTATATGACGCGAATGTCAATATATTTAAATAAAAAAGACAAGAAACGAAAGAAACTACACGGTAAAGTGGGGTAATCGTCGATGTTAGAATAAAATGGGAAATCCTACGGCGACCGTTGTTCGCATGACGTCACGTTGATTACTAAGACACGGCACGACCATGAATAGGTGTAGTGTAGTGGTGGATGGTGATTAATAAATGATAATTATTCTTCCCACATTCTTAAGAAAAAATTTGAGCCCCTTTTTAGAATACAGCCAAGGACGCTTAAACTTAAAAAAATCTTTTGTTGAATTACTAAAAATAAATAAGTAGATACATAAAATACTGTCTATAGTTTACACGAGTAGTACACATAATAAAACACTTTAACGGTTTAAAACGCGATATATTAGTTAAACTTATTTGGAAATGATTTTTTACTTCGGCCCGACGTTTCGGATGCTTTGCAGCAGCCGTGGTCACGGGGAGACTACATAAAGGTACTACTAGATACATAAAAGTTTAATTATATTATTTCGTGTTTTGAACCGTTAAACGTGTAAATAATTAGATAAGTGCAATTTTCGTAAGTCTATACCCAATTAGACAATATATTTAAATAACTTCGTCAAATTTAAATCAACAGATTTGAATAGAATAAAAGGTTAGCCAATATTTAAGCATTTTTTCTTTGTTCAAAATTTAATGTACAAATGTATTTTAGGGGTAGAGCAATGAACTCTAGCAAGAGACAGGGGAGGGAAAGTGCATTATACCGCGAATAATTTATATCCCTCGCTAGTGCCGCTTAGTTACACTTTTTCTATAGACATGTTGGCGACGCAGTTATTTGGTGCTATCCTAACTTATTAAAAATAAAAAGGTAAAAGATCTCATCTTATTGAAAAATAATTGTTCTGAATATCGATTTTTTCGAGACTAGAATAATAGTGTGCTGTTTCCATTTTGGGTAGATGGAATTCTGAAACATTTATTTTTGATGGTAGCTACAATAAGAGGTGATTACTTCTATCGCAATTACATTTCTAGTTAAAGTGACATCATCATCATACACATTTTAACTGATTTATTGGTATAGACAATGTGAACATTCTTAAAGAATAGGGGTTCAAGGGAATGAAAACTTAATAAAGCCTATGAAATTTTTGAGTGTTAATAGAAATACATATAGTAATAGGTAGTTGATCCAAGAGTTAAAAATTGCATTTTAAAGCAGTCCAACTATTCAGTGAAACCATGCAAGTCAATGCTTTTCTGAAAAAGGACCCTTTAACTGTAAAAAAAATATTTGCAGACTACATGTATTGGTGTTATTGTATATTCTTTTGGATGGAAAAACTGTTAAGAAAATATCACTACAAATGCTCCAGTTAACATCTTTTTATTGTAAAAATATTGCTACTTAAATTTAACTTACATTATCATACTAAACTATAAAACTAACTCTTATTTGCACAACCTAAAATACACATAGGTAACAATAATTTTACAATTGTGTAATTTTTAGATTTAATTCTATATAATTTGCTGAAACTTGATGCTTTAATATTGTTTTAATACAAGAATACTGGACTGTGTCTGTTACTTCCTAATACTGCAACTGCCTCCTACATTCCTGACATATGTAGGGCATAGCCATGCATCTATTATGAGTATACCTTGTTATTTCCAAGAAATCTATTTGCGATAACATAGACAGTATTACCAGACCAACTATTTTTCAAATATTTTATTATTAAATTTGTATCTGTAATATTCTTCTTCATTTAAATATTGTATTTTAATATGAAAATTATAATTTATATCTGTAGAAATAAAATAACAATTTTAATGTATTTTCTTACTGTTATAATTGCAATAGTACATTATAATTGTTGAGAAAGCTGTAGTACCTAAACTAAAGGTTAAAATAATTATACTAGTTGTATTGTCGATATGTTTTAATTCAACATAAATAAACGCGCACGAAATTTAGTTTAAATACCAACATTTTTCTTTGTTTTGCACCCAAATGTAATTCTATAATACAGATAAAAACAAAACATATTAAATATTGTTAATATCCGTTTTTATTCCTATTAAAAATATTTTATTAAAATAACTGCTCTCTTTACTTCCTATAGGCCTCTTAAATACTACGACTTGTTACACAAAAATAATGCAAAGAATATATTAAAGAAAAAGATAAATTTACAGTGCATATAATAAGGAAAGACGAACCTGTTTAAAACTTTTAAAAAAGTTCCAAATCCACGGCAAGTAGCAACTTCTCCCGTGTATGTAACAGTCATTTTAACTTAAAAAATCCTCTAACAATTCTTAATATCACAATTTAAAAACATAACAGCATTTTTATCTAAATAATATATCGTAATAGTAACCAGATTTAATAAACACACGTTGCGGCGATGTTTCCCACGCCAATACTCAAGTCTCAAACAAAATACCACTGACAAAATACAATCATTTGCATTTATCTGCTAAAGACTGACGCTTCGCTGGCTTACTTTGATTATAGACTATAGTGATTGATATTTCTTAGTTTTTAGGGTTACCATAAGTACGTTTATTTCGATGCAATTGGCAAGAAAAATCATTGTCTAAAATAGTAAAATTGCTGCAATAATGAAAAAGAAGATTCCGACCTTTTATCTAGGTTTGTATAAGTTAATTTATCAATCTATATAAATCCTGTCCTATGCGTTGATGATTATATAGATATTGATTGCATACTAGAAACAATATTTTTTTGGGATGGAACTGGTAAGATTGGTGTGGATCGTATACAAATAAGAATTATAATTATAATTATCGTACGTGTGCTTGTTTCATTAAACTGAGTAGATCTTACCCGATCGATTGACTTTTGTAAAAACCATTTTGTAAATACCAAATAACACTAACGTCAGGATAAAACGGAGGGTTCACATTTAATTTCCATGTCTTCAAATCTTAATGATGCATCAAAACAATTATTCTATGGATACACATAATTAACAAAGCTTTACAAACAAGATAAAATTGTACATGGGTGAACAGTTTCACCAATATCAACGATACGAATCCTGCGGTCACTCTGTGGAACTACTTTTATCTCTGGCCACAACTGTAGATGCAAAATTATTGTTGAATACTGAATAGAAATCGCCAAAATGGCTGAATCTGAGAGCCGATTAAATGAGTAAATGTATTTTGTATTTGTGTTTTGTAGTCTAATAGTTTAATAAAATATAAAATTGTAGTATAGTGGAGCTTTATCCTAATGTATGTTTTATTCATGTGTGATCCGTAGTTATTGAGATTTACGTTCGGCGCTAATCACAATGAGTGAAACTATTAAAAGTGAAGCGCTTGCAGACTCTGAGAAGCCGGTACAGGCTCTAGAAAATGTGCAATTCCCGCCTTTCCCCGGTAAATATTTATTCAACATTTTAAACTTTGCGTTTGGCGTTTTTGCTATATATAGTTATATTTATGTACTCAGGGTCGAAGTTATTGTTTGGTATCTTGACTTATCGATATTTGTTAAAATGACAGACAACTTCACAAAATTCTTCTAAGGTTTTGCTTGAATTTGTTGTTGTTGTTTATACAAATTTTAAAACATGTAGTGTTTTTTAATCATTAAATTTATATCCTGTTAAAATATTAAGTTCTGTCTTTCCCAATATGTATTTGTTTTGCTATTATTATGTGTTAAAGATATTAATTTATTATTTTAAAAATCAACATTTTAAACTCTGACAGAACCAACCGATGATGATTTTGAGGAGGATATATCTCAAGAGGAAAGAGCATTTTACTTGGCAAAATTTAAAGGTAATTTTCAACCTTTCTTGCCATCAATGTATTGCATTTCTTTAATTTTTTAAATTCTCAATACCCTGTCTTTGCAGATCTTAACACTGTTACTCAAATAAAAATTCACTGCACATCATGTGATCGTCACTTAGGACTGTGTCCAAAAAATGAAAGCCGTATGAAGACACATCCTATGTTACGCACATTAGTGTGCAATAGTTGTCATTCATTCTATAATAGTGGAGAATTTGAAAAGGGTGAAGATGGTTCAGAGTTATACTGCCGCTGGTGTGGACAAGGCGGTCAAGTATACTGCTGCTCTGATTGTGAACATGTGTTTTGTGCTGTAAGGTTTCGATTAATAAATTATATTTTTATATAATTGATATTAATATTTGCAGTGTGATAATCTTATCAATCTTTACAAATTAAAAGAGCTGAGAGATAATTTTGGTCTTGGACATATTTCTCTGTATTTATTGTACTCTTTTCAGAAATGTATAAAAAGAAATTTAGGCCTTGCAAAAATAAAGGAAATTGAGGAACTTGAAGATTGGAAATGTTTCAATTGTAATTATATGTGTTTGAGAGACCTGCGCGCCATTTGTTGGGCAGCTTTGCGTTATTGTGATTTAAAGAATAGGTGAGATGTAATTTCATGAATTATAAAAACTATGTATATTATAAAAATCTATGTTATTTTTAACATATCAATTGAATTTATTAGGTTATATTTATTTGTTCTATTTAGATTTAGTTTAACATATGAATTAATTAGGAGATATCCTAATGAAGTAAATAGAACTTTGAATTTATTGTAATTTTACAGGATTGCTCATAAAACAGAAGATGGCAAGCTCAAAGAAGCCTATTTGCAAGATTGTGCTGAGGACCATTCTGATTGTTGCAAGTCAAGGTCTAAAAGAAAGGAAAAACTGGATGCCAAAAAACGAGACATTGATGCTAAAAAGTCTGTTGCATCTGCTGTATCCAAACTTCCGCCTACAATACAGGTGTGAAATTTATTATATACTACATGTTAAGAATGAGAGATCTCAGATTTGATTTCCTGATAAACATAATGATTAGTCAGTCAGGCAAACCACAGACATCTCATCTGTCATACTTGTCTGTAAATAAAATTAATCTTTAAAAAACACCTATGTGTTTATGGCATAGCCCAAGTAATCAAAACAGTACATCACTATGATATTTTGTCTTATCTTTAATTAATACAATTTAGGGACTGGGACATATTAATACATAAATTATCTACTTGTGATTGTTATTATATTGTCCTATGTCTACAGGTCAAGAAATTTGCTTCAATAAATATGAATGACACAGCAGTAAAGCAAGAAGGTAAAAAGGCTCAAAAGAGATCAGCCAGTCCTAAGACTAAACAAAATATTATTCTGAAAAATCCAATAAGCGTTGCCTCCAAAATGGGAAACACTTTTAATGTTACACCTATCAAAAAATTTAGAGTAAGTACATATTTGTGGTGTATGAAATGCAACCTTTCAGACCGGAAATCTTAAATGTCTTAATATATTATGAAATGTTAATTTTCAGCTGCCTACCTCTAATTTGATAAACCCTATAAGAATAATGGATATGAATGGAAGAAAGGGTGTTGCTCAAAATACTTTTATAAAGATTCGGCCGAAAAACCAATACCAATCTATCTACAATGGAATGGCCTCAAGTAGTCCATTCAATAATGTCTATAGCAATGATAATATTAATCTTTCAATTGATAGTCTAACACAGGTAAAATTTTAATTAGTTTTGAACAGACATTGAATTGTGTTATTGATTTGATTTTCTTTTATTTATTTCTATACATTGATTTAATAAAAGAATTGGCACTCGTTTTATTTCAGGGTTTGGATGTATCAGCAATGTCAAGCATGGTGCATAGCCCACAAAGTGAACTAGTTTGTACTCCAGACTTTCCCATGGAGCCATTGTGCGAGGTATGTTGCAATAAAACAAGAAATGCGAAAACTCTTAAAACAAAATATATATAAAGTATCACTCAGTGTTACAAAACAAAATGTGTTTGAATCTTGCAGTTATATCACAACAGATATACTTGTGGTTGTGTTTCTACATATTATATTTTAACTTGTAAAAGTTAAGGTAATACAGAGTATTGATACTTTAATCAAAATTCATCTTATTATAGGTATTGGAGGACAACACAGATGATGACGTACAGTGCATTACTCCAGCACCAGCTAACGTATCGAAAGGGCCATCTCTCAGTCGTCAAGTGAACTTGGCCGACGTTCCTTCAGACAATATCATACAAATGACCGAAAATGATGTCACAGTCAACACTGTTACGGGAGGACTTAAGTTCCGAGTTGATCCACAAACATTGTCCTCTCAAAAAATGTATCGGCTTCCTGACGGTAGAATCTTTGCTATAAACGCAAATCCCAATATGCCTGGTGGGTATTCTGCCACTATAGTCGCCGTTACAGAAACGAAACAACCTAAACCCGGTCCTTCAAAAACGAACGCGTCAACAATGTCCTCGACATCATCAAGGCGAATAAGTGGTAATAAACCTAGTAATAATAATCGCAAAAATATCTTAAAACAAAGAGTTTCAAAAAATGTAGTCCGTAGTAAGAACCGCTCTATAAAAGAGGCCGATCTGAATGTGCCTGTAGAATGGTATAGATATAATTTAATGGACGCCATCGATGCTTTAGAATATTCGCTGTCGCGGCTACATAAATTGAAGAGGGAGGCAACGACTTCCTTCTTGAGAACTAGATCTGTTCCGGAGATGCGTAATTTACATAAAACCTTAGAAAACTTATTAAATACGTCGTCAAATCGCTTTAGAGAAATTCGAGAAACAATTAATAAGGAATTAAAAGAATATATTGAGAAAAAAACCGCAATAACAAATAGCGATGATGATGACGATGTAGAAATACTTCCGGACGTAGAAGATGGACCCATATGTATTGATGAGAACTCATTGGACTCATTTTGTAACGATAGTCAAGAAGTTGACTTGACAGAAGGTGGAAGTGAACCCAACGACAGTGGAGATAAAGGTAAAGATGAAAATATATTTATGGACACAAGTGAGCTACGAGATACTTCAGACGAATTGGAAAATGAAAAGGATGATACTGTTAGTGTGCTTAAAGATAATGTAAAGAGTAAAGACACAGGCGAAGCATTGAAAAGAGTGGATATCACATGCGATGAAAAAATTGAAAATACTGAAAATGGCACCTCAGATTTAAAAAGTAATGAAGTCAGTGAAAAAGAAAGTGAGTCACAAGACATGGTTGTTGATAAAGAAGATTCAAGAGGAATAAATGATACGCTAGATAAAAGAACAGAATCCAAACAACAGGACACGCAACCCATAACAAATGGCGAAAGCCAAGACTCAAACAAAAGTTCAAAAATTATGGATAAATTACCCGAAAGCCACGACGAAGAAAACAATGAGACGACGGACACTATGAATATTTCCGATGATGTCAAAGAAAACCCCTAAAGCACAAATTATAAAAACCTTTGAGAGAAGAAATACTTTTAACAGCTCTAATTAACTTTTATATAACGCAAAGAGCGTCTCTTTAAAATGTTTTGAATTATCGACTCTGAATTGTTATCGAATTTATTTTACGCTATTCAATGTGTTTTATTAAGAGGAGTACTCTTTGTACTACAAAATTGTACAAGGGTGATTTTAATTATAATGCTATCACTATAGTACATTTATATGTAAAAGATTAAGTCCTTCACGAGAAATGTGTGGTTTTTCGAAATACATTTGCGGTAAAGGAAATGTATGTGAAAGTTATTAGAGATTGCGGGCGCAGTTATATGACCGAAAATATACTACTAATTCAAGGTTCTGAAAATATTTGAATTTGCCGCTAAGTTACTATGTAGACATAATATTATTTAATTTCGGCAATTACAATATAATGATTACAATGTAGTGACGGTGAAAATAGAAACTACTTTTTTCGGTTGCGTATATACTTGAAGTACAAACGTATTTTGCAAATAGTTAAGGATATATGCTTATTGCGAGATTCCTACTGACTGATGCTCCGTTCCATTCCACGCAGCAATCTATTAATTTATAAATTGTAATAAGTTGTAATTGAGTCATTACTAATTTTGAAGAAATCTACAAGTTTTTAAAGTCCTTTTAGTTTATAAAAGGTCTGCTGCGATATTCCGGAACATTTTCTTTCTTGTAAAAAAGCTATAAATAGTTTGTTTTTTTATATATTAAACTATAAAGTCAATGTAGGTACCTATTGTAAATATAAATTTGATATGATATTGAATTACCCTTAGTTGTGGTTATTTTTTGTAATGAAAGTTCCAACTGCGGATTTACAAAGTTTATGAGTTATTAAAATATTCATGCGCAATTAAAATGTATAACTACATAATTAAACTGCTTTCTAGGATGTTATGTAGTTGTCTTCATTTTTGTATGTTTGTATTGCAATTGGGTTTGGACATCTACCAACAACTTGTATAATAATTGAGCCCCTTATAAAATAAGATAACAGTGAAATATTATTATTAGTGATATTTATTTGTAACAGTGATAATAAATGATTTCTAGCATTTTTTCGTCCAATATGATGGACTATTATTTTTAATGTAAGCCCAAATAAAAACCACGTTTAACATAAATTATTATTATTTTAGTATAAAAAAATTCACAAATGCATAGTATAAATTAATATTAGCAAGTCGAGACTGATTTAATCAGAAATGTTGCAAGGAAGCAAAGGTCAAAAACGATATCACAAAAATGTATTTTGACGACTTAGAATGTATGATACTTTTTAAAACATTCAGTAGAAATAAATTAATAGCGGAAATGCCCCTTTCTTGAACGTTCTTCGTGGTACACCCTCATCGGCGAGTAAGTGCCATTCGATGCACCGTTGGAGTTCAAACCTGTAAAAGGACAACTGTATTAAGCTTTTCAATGCACACGCCGTTATACTACATAGATTTAAAATTAATAATAATCTCAAAAACTTTGTAAAAAACACAACAGTAATGCTGTGGATGCCAGTCCAAGTCTTGCCCATGTCGTAAATTTTTCTGTATCTCAAAATCGATGTTTAATTTATATAGTGCCATCATGTGCATAGCATGAAAATTATAAAAAAAAATCAAATGTAATTTATCTTTGTCAGCATGCAATTTTATTGTGCAGTATGAATTACCAATTGTTTGTACCTTTTCCATCGAGTTGGCCATCAATTGTGCTGGCTTGATTTTAGAATATGAATAATTAGTGATGATATTCAAATAATTGGTATAAGGCCGTTGGGTATATGGTGTCAATAAAAAACTATACCTTGTAATAAGTGAGTAGGTGGTGGCGCCGCCGGTGAGGCACAGCGTGGCGCAAGTAACAAGTGGTAGAGAGCAAGGTATACTGCAGCGCAGAGCAAAGCCAAAACGCCTAGAGCTCGGTAGATGTTACGGCTAGACTCTAGGGTTTCCTCTAACGTTACCATTCCACCTATAATGGCTCCGATAAATCGACCTGAAATAAACCACAGTTATTACAAGAATTGATGGATATTTCTAATAAATGGTTCTCAGTCTTATATCTTTATCGACATGCCAATACTTACACCTGACTTCATCCGTGGGCACTCATTAAGTGCGCCTATTAAAGTACTAATTAATTAATTTAATAATATCTATCACGACATACCTAAACAAAAATGAGCGATGACTGGCAAAGCTTGTCCTGAAGTTGTATATTTCCTGGGTATCAAATGTCTGAAGTACAGCACCGCTGTGACCCACACTAGGCTCAGAGTGAAGACTTCCAGCAGCTCACTGACCACAACCCATGTATAAGTTGTGCTGTATGCTAGAGCTGAAATATTTTTTCACTTTAGGAACATGTTTACAAATATATACTATATAATAGTATATACATATATAATATATAGCTTGTATTAAAACGAAGTTGCGCAAAATTAGCTCTTTAATTTTAAATTATATAGACCATAAATATGTTCGTCTTGTTATTATGATCTTACCAGTATAACGTAGACAGTAGAATGTAAAAGCGGCAATAAATACATTTGAATGTCCAATATAATCCACTAGAGCTTCTGCCCACCAGAGCGCTGGTATGGCAGGTAGAGCACCAGCTGTCATTGTCAGGCCGGCTGATACGGTGGTACCGTTGAGCTCTAAGACGGTCCTAATAATAGAAAATAATTTTAAAATCCAGATGGTTCTTCATGCCGGATGCAGCGTAATAGTACCTACATTATGATATAAGTGCGGTAAGTTGAAAATTACAGCCGAGGCGATATTATTATAAGAAAGCAGAGGATGTAATTTTCAAAGCGCACGTATGTCATACAACGTTTTATAACATATTTACGAGGAAATTAATAAAACTTAGTTAAACGAATAAATCTTTAATTAATTGTTAAAGCAGTTATAAAAATTTTTACTTGTCTACAGATAAGCGATGCGCGCGCATCAACTTTTTTTATTACAAAAACAGCCAGTATTACTAATAAAGTTAATTAATATTTTTGTGTTTTTATTATAGATATTTGTTATAGAGGTTGTAATTTATTGTCAAAATTTATTAAATTAAATATTTATTTGTTATATTTTATTTCCCAAAGTTAATTTTACTCATAAAATATTGACCACTTTCTTGACATAAAACCTCTTTGCTAAGAAAAAAAAACACGTGCCTTTTACATTACACTATCGCACAAGTACGTAATGAGAAACATTACGATATTAAAATTGGTGTAATTACATATATATAAAAGTAAATTAAAATATGGAATACTTTACAAAACATGTGAATGTTTAAAAAAACAATTTAACGTGAATTAAATTGTTTTTTTTTAAAGGCCTACAGAGTTTATCAATTCCTGAAAGTAACATACAATTATCGAAGTGGAAGTGGAGCTTCACTAGTGATTTAATATTTTCGACTTTTTATGCTTGTTATGTATACATTTAGCTTACCAGGGCAAATATGCATCTATACCACTCCAGAGTGTTCCCAGTAAGGCAACCACTGCGAATATTGCAGCTGTTTCTGCGTCATATCGTCTGACCGCATTCATAGGCATCGCTAGCACTCCTGTAGCTGTGTGCCACCACCATTCTGGTGTCGATAATGGCATGTGGCTAAAATAATTTTAAATATAAAATCATCAGTTACTAAAAATACTGTATACTCCTCATAATAGAGAAATTAAGTAAATATCAAAACATACATAATTATATGATTACTTCCTTACCTGTCCACGATAAGTATTAGAGCTCCAATTAACATAAACAAAGCGTGAAGTAGGAAAGGTACTAAATATGGAGTTTCAGGCATTACTGAGGCCGCTAAACCAGCGAGGGGAGGGAAAATCGCCAGACCTAAAGTACCAAATGCCAACTGTCGTCCAACATCGCCTCTTCCCAATGACGTCTCTCTGGTAGCAATAACGCATGCTGCTCCTAACAACGCCAGGGCAGCCGTAGGCCATATGTCGGCGAAAAGTCTTAAAAAAAAGTTTGTGAAGATAATTATTAAGAGTGGCAGTGTCTTTTTAACAAAAAAAAAAACATTAATAACAAAGAGAAAGAAAAATAATGAGCAACTGGCATTTTGTTGTTTCGCTCGCTGGCTTATTAATGACAATTACTTTAATGTGTTCTAGGCGTTTAATCTTGAATGTATGGTTTCGTTCCAATTCTTTTGCGTTTATAAGACATATGACAAAAATCTTGTCTAGGTAAGTATTTGAATAAAAGACTTTAACGTCTTAATCACGATATATATTCGTAAAACTTGTTAACGAATTAATTTACCGCGGTTGAAACCGTTAAAGTGTTTCATTTAAATGTGTACTACTTACTCACGAAAAACTACAGACAGTATTTGGGTTAGTATCTGTTAAAAAATGAATACTTAACATTTTAAAAACACGACCACCCTAAAAATCATAGGTAATCAATTATGTAAGAAATAAACTTTACGTATTGGCGATATATTTACCTGATGATAAAATAGCTCCAAAAAGTATAGGAGGGGTCACCAATAACCAGTCTGCACTCGGCGTTCGCCAGAACTCCATCTGGCTCATCATATGGGTCTAAGACTTGGCAACGTACAGCTGGTTTACATTCTCCACCATCAGGATTAATGTCTTCTAAGCGGTCAGCGGGCACTATGCATTTTGATGGGCCAGCTGTGAAAAGCACCATAGACTAAAAAAATGAACTGATGGGGAGTCTGAAAAATTATATAATGACGTCATAATGCATTTAGGAATACCTAATTTACTATTCTAAATATTAAGTATTGCCTGTAGTTTACGCGGGTAGTACTCCTTAAAATATAACACTTTTTGAACGGTTGAATACGCGAAATATGTTAGTGAAACTGATTTACGATTTATTTTTACTACAGCCCGACGATTTCCCATGACCAGGGCTGTTAAAAGCATCCGAAACGTCGGACCGCAGTAAAAATGTAAGTAAATCCGTTTAATTATTGCATTTCATGTTTTGAACTGTTCAAAAGTGTTTATTAAATATTCTAGATATTGTTTTGCCAACCTATTACTGTTATACGGGTACATAAACGCTTTAGAGAAGAATACGTCACGTGACACGCCCTGTAATAACTTGTTTGATGTAGGATATTGGGCGTGCCATAAAGTAACAACACATACAAATAAACGTTTCTGGTGTGGTCGGGTCACACCATACTTGTTACCTTGTGACATGCAATCATTGAATCAGTGGCCTCATGTCTAAAAGAACTTAGCTTATAAAGTCTCGTATCTACTATTTTTTATGATAAACGAAGACAGAGGAAGCATGTGGTTCCACCTATTTTAGCTTCGTATATTTGGAAATCCACTGACTGAAATCGACACGCGATTAAATATTACGACCTTTTCATTTAATAACCAAATTTCCAGACGGAGCTTAAAAATATCATAAATTAGTTAGATAAATGTTGGATCCCGTGGGAGTCGAAATCATGACCCGTTTATTTTTAGCCATACATTGCTACTATTACACGAGTGAGCCCGTTGGTATAATATAGAACAAACGGGCATAGACGTTATTGTGGTCTTATATTTATAGATTTTATTGACAGGCAAGAATTGTGAAAGAAGTGTCTATGGGTTAGTCGACATTTCCAAATAAGGCATAAAAGTATATATGTATTTTAAATTAAAAATCGATTTAAGATTGAAAAAAATTTCGTCACGGGCAGGACTTGAACCAGCATCCACAACCTTCCGTGTTGGTGCTCTAACCAATTGAGCTACTGTTCCTACACGTCATTGTCGAATGTTTTCAACCTATTGAAACATGCACCTCTCGCGCAATGTAATTTCAACTTCAATACGTGTAAATTAAGCCGTTTTTTTTTCGATTTTTAATTTTTATAGTGCCGTCATGTGCGAAAATATTAAACTTTTTAAAGTAAATATAGTTTGCTTCTTACCAGTTCGATAAGTACACCAATTATTTTCATCAGTAGAGTTGTCTTCTGGGAGTTCGGGCGCAAGGAGCGAGAGAGGGACTCGTAATCTATTCGCATGTTGCATATACACTAGGCAACGTCCATTGTAACATAAGTGCGGAGGATTTATCTCAAAGTCTGCGTCGTCTTCGGGCTCTTCAGTTGGCAACGGAGTGGGAGTCTGTAATAAAATATCTCCATGTTTCACTTCCACCCCCTCCAATTCTTGCGCAGCTGATGTTGTATAAAGTCAGAAAAGTAAATAATTTGCGGGTACGATAACAACTAAAGATCAGCGTTTTTCTGTCATGTCCTCTACGGACGCAAATATTAAATATAATAAAACATGATTTGAATATTAAATGTACTCTCAAACAAATGCTTTTTTTTATTTTGCGTCATTGAAAATCGAACTAGGATCTCCGGTGTCAAACGCGCGGCGCATATCAATAAGTTATAGAAGTGGTCTATCTTACGATTAATATTATTAGAGGAAGTGACGAATTTATAAATAGGCATTGTCTTATTAATTTATTTACAAATAAGTATTGTAGGTATAGTAAAACGCCTTGCCTAAACCTTTTTAAAATGGCGTTAAGTTATTTATTAAAATGCGATGCTAAATATGCCAGCCCAAAAATATTAAAGCTTACAAGTTATATTACTTACAGTAAAGTTAGCGACACTGTTGTACAATGGACTGAGCGTGGTCGTAGTGGAGGTGGTTGTGAATGGCTGCATCACCCACGTCATGTTCTCATCTGCACATCCATACTCGCAAGCTCCTACTGCTAGCACACCCGACTGTAAACATATAACTATATTAATGCTTACTTCTATACTATAATGTAATGCGTGCAAGATGTATATGAAGTATGAATCCCACCCAACAAGATGTGATAAAAATTCATTAACATTTTTATAAAACATTTTAACGGTCACGATCTTAGCCGCAAAACATCCGAAACGTTGGGTTAAAATAAATTTCTATGACTGGTTGAATTTATATACCTACAGTAAGCTTTCATACTTCTGTGCCCTGCCCAGCCCACAGTTTATTACCACGGTATTTTAACCTGGCACACCGCTCTTAATGTAATTTATAATTGAATCTTTACATAGTAATATAACATTCAATTTTAAAAAAATATATGTTAGACAAACGCGTCTCTAAGTGTTTTTTTTAACAGATTAGTTACAGAGACATTATAGTTAAATCTATTCAAGCAAAATATAGTAAATAGGATTACATTTTATTTCATGATGCCGTTTGTATTCTTGTATAAAATTACAGTGGAATGCAATACATTAATTGTACAATTATGCCGTTCATTGTAAGTATTAAACACAATGATTTACTCATTCATTTGTCTATTAATTTTATGAGTTAAATATTAAATTGTTTCAAAAGTTTTTAAACATCTCAAAAAGCTAAGTTTTTAGTAAACGTAATATTAGTTTGCAAATTGCAATTAAAAATAAACCAGATGTCGTCTAACCAAAGAGGGAAGACAAAACTAAAATTTAAAATATATTTGAGTGACAGAGTTTTAACCAACCTTCTGACCATCCCATCGGTTACATCTCATTCCCTCGGTACAGACTTCCTGCATTACGTAACCACCATCTGCGTCGCACATAAAGAGAACTTGTGGTCTTCTTGCCTATAAAGTCAGAAATATGTCTGTATAACATTGGATTGTGCATAGGGATGGCAAAGAGAAATTATTAATGATGTTTTCATGCTAACAGTTTTTGCTTAACTTAAAAATGACATTATTATGTTAGTAGCGGTAAAAAATTCCATAATATAATGTCATTAAAGGTATTTTATCTAGTATATACTCGTATGAATTATGCCCCTATGCAAAAGTATTATTTTAGTAAATTGTCATATTGTAGGAAAATAATTAGCCAATTTTAAATGCTGTTAAACTTGGTTTTATACCTCATGTCTCTCAGTATACGGGACAGCGAGGAGCAGAGAATAAAACAAGGCACTTAGAATAAGGCACAGTGCCGTGATAATTCTTAGAAGCTTTCCAGATCCGCTTGGACCCGTACTCCCTCCGGTTGAACCTCGGCCTACAGACAATCTGAAAAAGGCACAAATTTGTGTTGGCTCGAATTAATGATGTATGGTTACATAATAGATTTATACTTTTTAAACTAAGAATTCTATTAAATACTGTCGTGTCTATAGTTTACGCGAGTAGTACACATTTAAATAAAACACTTTAACGGTTTAAAACGCGATATATTAGTTAAATCATTTTCAAATAAGTTTAACTAATATATCGCGTTTTAAACCGTTAGTGTTTTATTTAAATAAAAAATTCTATTGTAACTTACTTAAAAAATACTTTAATCTGAGTTTTAAACCTGAGTTTACGTATCGTAACCGATACGTAAACTCAGGTAGCAAAAACGTCGCGGTTTCGAATCCTTTTCACTCGTAACACAGTTGGTGTCTATACTTACTTATCAATAAGTGGGCCCAAAACAGCTGGTCCCAATAGCGCTATGCATGGCGTTACCGCAGATATCAAACGTGCTTCCCCTCTGTCCAACCCTATCGACAACATGTGTAGGGGGAGGAACGGATATATACACCCTATTCCTGTAAAAGAACATGAGTCAAACAACGTGCTACTCGCTCTTGAATAACGACTCCTAATTTAGCTTTACAATTAACCATTAAGCATCTTAATTGCTTTTAATGTCCGTTGTGCTGAATAGCTAATGTTCAAGTTATGTTTTATCGCATTGTTGAAAGCTGTTGGGTTTACATCACGACAAGAAGAGTATGTCAGTAGTATAGAGGAGAGAAGGCATATTTTTTCAGCAAATACATACAGTGGCGGATCCAGGGAGTCAAGACCCCTGGTTTCAGGTCTTAGGTGGACCATTAATTGAACATATCGATTCTATTTACAAATTATTATGTGTTATGTTCTTCAATTGTACAATTAGGATTGAATATTGTGAACGACAGTAAGTTTACGTATGTACATTAATGAAATGCCCACTTTTACCTGTGTTTATTGTTATCAAAATTAAATGTGATCATAACTATGTCACCCCCTCCTGGCGCCAAAACTGGATGAAGCTTTGGCCCTTGAATGCAAAATATTTTGGGACTCTTTAATTTAATAGGTAATATTTGAAATACTGTCTCTGGTAGTTTACGCGAGCAGTACACATCTAAATAAAACACTTTAACCGGGAGACCCCCGTGACCACGGCTGCTGCGAAGCATCCGAAACGTCGGCTATAGTTGATAATAATTTTCAAACAAGTTTAACTAAAATAAATCGTGTTTTATACCGTTAAAGTGTTATATTTAGATAATATTCTATTGAATAGTTTACATAGAAAGTGATTACAATTTAAATGAAACCTCCAAATTCAAATAGTCTAGCCACTATCATTTGTTATATTGATTGTATTTCAAAGCATTTCACACATGTAACAATCTCATACGAATGTTGTAATATGTATGTGTGGGTGAAAATGTATCGCTATAAGCGAAACCAGTTTCGTACATGCGAGTGTAAAATATTCATGCCATCTGCAAACAAAATATACGGGTTCGCGGGTCGCTCTTGCTAAAGAGACGCGAGACGCTGCCAAAGAATCGGGGTGAATGGTCCCTATCATTCGATTAGCCAGAATCATTGTTGACCGCGCCTTAAAAGGAAGCTTGGAAGTTGCAACACAACTTGATCACTAGATTCGAGCACGTACATCTCCGAGGCTGTGGTCTCTTATAAACGTGAAGCATCTTACTTTACGATGATCCCGAAAAGAGAAGTGTATTGTTAACGTCTTTACGCGTTAACATTATTAGACACACGCTGACGTATGTGACGAACAGAAATTATTGCAAAAATCATCGGCTGAGGACACGAGCTTACTTTTTAGGACGCGATAGAAGCATTTAAATTTCTGCCTGAGGAAAAGGGGTAAAGTAATACATTTTTGTCTTTGTCGCCATGGCTAATTTGTCGTCGTGATCGTGGCAAAGCAAGGAACCGTATTAAACAATAAAATGAACAATTTGAGATAGTTGTAAACAGTATTTAGAGGAAAAATCAATCATTTTAAGACAAAGTCTTTATTTAAAAAGATTACGGTGGGGACACCCCAATACAATTAGTGTGTTAAGTTGTAAAAGCCGCAGTGTATCAAAAAACTATATTTGTCACATTTGTGGCCAGGGCAACATTACATCAATAGGTATATAGTCTAAGGACTCGAGATACTGTCAACTAATCTTGTCTAAGATCCAGTAGACGCGGCGTACAGATACGCAGTCGATATCGTTTATAACAGACCACAGCCTAAGAGACTACTTTTTACACAGCTCTCTCAATAAATAGCGAGCCTACTTTTCAAAATCATTTAAGGTATTGATGTCATTCTCAAGTACCTATAAGTAAAGAAAAACACACTGACCTGCTAAGAAGCAAAAGAGCACGCATTTTAGCGTTATCAAGTTCTTGTTCACAATCTGCTTCATCTTGACGCTTTCTATACGTCTTGGTCGGTTACCTCGAAAATTGATCTACCATTTTGTTCGTACCTGTCAACAAGAAGGAATTAAATTTTTACTTACCCTCAAAATGAAACCGTATGGGGAGATATAAGCCACCGATACTTAAATAAAATAGAGTCGCATTTTCGCATTTAGTCAAAAGCTTGTTGTATTTTATGCTGGTAAATGTATTAATGACATCCAAAGAATACTCAATTGTCCCTATGAAAAAACAAATATATCTGGTAAACCGAAGTGATTGATATTTTGCTTTGTAAGGTCCATTGAGGCCATGGCCGTGTTTGAACGCCCACGTTTGACACGAGTTTATTATAGGCGTATACAAAGAACGTTAATTTTAAAATAGTTACACGAAATGACGCGATCTCGTATTGCTGTGATCTCACTGCCATTTACCAGCCTCTGTCGCATTATCTCATCGAATTAAATTTCGTTGGCCATTTTGTCAGATGTGGAATTGTGGCTAGATGAACGCTATTTAGAGTTTTTGTATTCTATTACATAGTTTCGACGGACTTCTTAATGGTTGAAGGGGCTATCGGTACCGATGTATGGCAATTAAAGGGCTATAGGTTCGATCCCCACCGGGTCCAACATGTTTGTCATACATTTATAATTGATCTGAAACGTAAGACTAGATCTGGAAATCTAGATATTAAATAAGTGGTAGCAATATGCCCGGGCCAGTCTGAAAACCAGCGCTGCTGAGTGTGACAAGCATTCAGCAGCATAGATGGGACTGGTACCGATTGCCATCTCTTATATATATTAATAAATATATATAAGAGAATAGTAATAACTATATTATTTGTTTTTATGCATACAATTTAATTATAAGTTTGTAAATATCTTATTATGGCAACAAAAAAGTTTTGAATTTCGAATTTGAATATTAAAGTTCCGTCCAGATCACGAATGATACAGATTAAAAATCCGCGAATTTAAATCGGTTCAGTTTGTAGATTTCCACATATGCAAAGGCAAAATAGGCTGACATCACATCTCCTTTAAATGTTATATGGCTGGGATGTTTCACCTTTCATCCAGTGAGCCTCATATATGTCTGTCTTCCTCTAACGAAAAAGCATAGTATTAACCACTAACTACTGTTATTTACCTTCTGTGTTATAACCTTTGTGAAACAAGTGTATAACATTGACCTATAGATTAACAAGCTTTAATCCGCTTAACATAATACGGATAACTTAATTTTCAAGACACCATATATCAAGATATACCAGCTTATTTAAAATACCTTCTGTATAAAATTAAGAAAGTTGTATTTATTTATTATAATTGTTTATAGACAGATATCGTGTGATATAGATATTTGGAGGGTACAACAAAGGTTATGGTGCCAAATCGATAAGTTATAGTCGTGTTCGCGTGACCTAAGCAAATAAGGGTCGGGGTAATTCGTTATAATGATATTTTCTTCACGATTCTGTTTTTCTCTCTCTAAACGTCTCGATCTACTTAATTTAATTTGTTTTAAATTATTTATTGGTACATGAAGGTCAGATAATAAAATTGATAAAAGCAACATAAAATATCGTTTTACAAAAGTACACTTTACATTTTTTATTGAATACTAGCTGTGTCAGCGACTTCGTCCGCGAAGAGTAGTTATTTTGGGTAACCAAATTGGTTTCCTAAACTATTACATATCCTAAACTAAAGCTGTTACCCACGACATTGGTCAACGGACAAAGTTAATCTTAAAAGATAAACATATAAATAACGCCTTGGACATTTTTTAAATCATTTAAAGAAGAATCATTCCTTCATACATTTTTTTTGGTTTCTTAAACCGTTTTTGCAGCGTACGCATCGGAAACCCCTAAGTGCCCCCTATGCCTTACTCGATAAATGCTTAAACCAACACAATTTTTTAAATTCGAACCTGTAGTTCCTGAGATTAGCGCGTTCAAACAAACAAACATACTCTTCAGCTTTATATATTAGTATAGCTATAGGTAAATTTAGTTTGGATAACTTATTTATATTCGTTTAGAAGTCCAATAACAAGCTCGAGAGTACCTAATTCATAATTACTTTTAATAGCAGCTGGTTGGGCAAACTGGTGCGTGAACCGAGAGCAAAATATTCGGGTTTATAGTATTTTTATGACATCCGTTCCATGATAAATAGTCTTTCTCGAAATTTATACAACATTTTATTAGAAGTGTACACCGGAGAAAGTCATATCTACTTGGAACGATGCAATCTGAATGTCCAAACCCAAAATAGGCCTGTAGCGCATCTTATTTAAATGTTATATTGCTGGGGGACCTTATCTAACCTGCTGCCATTAAAATATTTTTTTTCCACACATACACTGCCCTCTATATGAAAACAAGTCCAAAAGGCCAAAATATAGAGGTATGTAAATATTTTTTTAATCCCGACTGGCTTTTGACATTGCTTTTACATTGTGAAATTAGTACTGTCTGAAACTTAAGCGACCAATGAAAAAAAAATGTATCCTACCTTAATGGGGAAATGTATAAATATTTCGAAATCAACGCTGGTTGAAAACACCCTAATTAAAAATCAATTAACTAATGTTTTTCGTGTTTTTAACCGTTAAATATTTCATTTTGATTATTTTTCTTCGAAAATTTTACAATATACATATACAGTTACAGTATTTTTAGCATCACAAGACCTAAAAAGCGATTGCCGAAGTAAGCTCCAGTTTTTATTGAAGAGACAATTTAGCTGGTTTAGCTGACAACTGGTTGCGGGGTCGCGATTCGTGAGTGTGCGATGTCGTCACCGCTATAAGCAGCGAAGGTCCGCCGACATGCGTGACCGGCGTCGCTTCGTTCAGTCTGAGGGCACGCCGTACTTTATCAATAATTATTCTATCACGTCATCATATAAAACCTTTAATCACAGAGAATAAAAAGTAAAAACCATGAAATATACTATATTTTTTGGTTTTTGGTGAGGGTAGACCTAGCAATCACATGTTAAAACATTAATTCAATACGTGACATTTTTTTCGAAATTTTTATGTTACTGAGAGCGGTAGTAAGTACATAGTTAGGTGTTTAGTGGCTACCACTGATAAAATAATCTTTATGATTTACACGCGGTTAGCCGCTAGCGAACTTAATAGAAAGGAGTTGTGGTCTAAAGTGGTACAGCATAATAAATACTTCTTAAATAAGCTCTTCATAAGATTATATTTGCAAAAAATACATTTTAGTTTTGTTTGTAATACCTACATTTATATCTACAATAAATTCACTCTTATATAAAAATTATAACACAATTCAAATGTCAAAGGTAATTAGATGTTATATTTTTATTGAATTACTTATATAATATAAATATACATTGCATTTGTATATTTGATATTAGTTTCAAGATATATATGATGGTAAAATATATCTAACGTTGAACTATAACCCCGACGATGCAAATAAATCTTCAATATAAAAACAAAAAAAAAATGTTATTTTTAAGAAAGACAAGCGTGTATGATGCACATGTGACTCATACAAAGATATAATTTTATATACAAATGAAATATAACAATAATGCAGGCAACAAAGATAACCTTTCAAAGTGTAACTCACCAGACCAGAAAGATAGAATATCAAAAATGTTCGAGGTACATTTAAATAAAACCATTTTAACGGTTGGAATGGAAAATAATGGTAATTTATTTTTAAGGAACCGAAATGACCACACCTAGTGCAAAGCATCCCAAGCCTCGGATAGTAATAAAAGTAGGTTAAATTACCACTAATATATTTCGTGTTAAAGCTGTCTGTATGCGAGTAGTATACATTTAAATTAAACACTTTAACGGTTTAAAACGCCAAATGTATTAAACCTATTTACAAATTATTTGAACTCCATTAGTAATGTTCTGTCCATATGACGAGAGTATATCCTGACGAGAGTTTCTTGTTTGTATCAAAATACGTATCTACGTTGTCTTCAGTCACGCTTCGAGCAACTAGGTCGTCAACATAAATGCTAATATGCCACAATTTCTCTCACATCACAAACTTTTTGTTGAACCTAGAACTTACCCTCAATCACAACATATATGAAGACTGAATGCTAATATGTAGGTAGTGTATCAGAACCGATAGCTTTATTTTCTGCATAAATACCTACTCTTAACAAACAATGAGAGGTACATAGATAAAACACGTTCCTCTTATGAATGACTTATTGCTCAAGATAGTAAAATTAAAATAGGTATGACCCGATAACGGAAGCTTGAACTTGTATTTGTTGTCTGAGTATTGTTCGCAATTTTAAAGTAAAAAATCTGTGCTCCAAAATGATATGACTTAGTTCTAAATATTCACAACTTAGCACGATTTCGTTTTTCTATTATTTTTAGGACAACCGAAGTTAACGACTAAATTAAGATTGATTTTTATAAAACCTTTTTTTGCAGCGGTAACTTAATACCGGTGATGATAAATTATTTTAGCAGAGATTGATGATGGTGATGTACCGATAATACCTGTCGCATAATTGTATACGTCGGCTGTCTTGAACTATTTGTATGTATACAAATATTATAAGAATTTGGAAATATACATATATTGTACTAGGATATTTTTATTCCATAGTACGGAATGTAACCTAATTCTTAAATTAACCCATATTATCTGCGTTTAAATCATTTAACTATCAGTTTTAAGACAATAATTGAATTAATTTTAATTATTTGTTCTTCTATTTCATATACTTTGAATAATAGAACTATTGAAGGACTTTTAAATTAGAGAACAGAATTACGCTAGGTGTGGCGACTCTGTCAACGAAAATTACTTAATAAACATTGTGATATTTAGGTCGCACCACCACGGCGCGCCTTTTTTCCACCCTCTACGTGAACGTAACCAAGTCATGATAATTTTCTTTTGTTTTTTTCGACATGCAAACACCAAACCAATCTAAAACTCTAATAAAAGGGCAAAATTGGTCTCAATTTAGGAACGACATTAAAAAATATAAATAAATACAAAAAAAAACTATTAATCATAAAACTAATATACCTCCTACCTAGTCACCGAATAATTTCTTCGCGAATATATAAAACTTTGTTGTCATTACTTCAATGTTGTCTTTTATTATTTTGTGCATAGATACAAGCCATAGTGAATCGATATAAAATTTTGCCTTATAAAATGCAACATGTAATTTATTGATGCTTTCACATTTTACGCCTTATATATTAACAAAATGTGACTTTCTTTAAATATAATATAATTTAGCGTTATCTGCAAAATATTAAAAAGTAGGTTCACTCGAAAATAAAATATCCTTTATATACTTACCTAAAATATATACCACCAAACGACAATCACTATAAGGTTTATTTTTGATTTAGGAGTATGCACAGGACACTAATCTGAAATAAAAGCACTTCAATAATAGTTCTTCAAATAAATAGTCACAAAATTTGCTTCTTATTGTAGTAGTATATAGTATAAAATCGTAATCCAACAAGATAATTACAACAAACACTGCCACACTCTTTCCGCGTCCACGGCATACTATTAATTTAAATAACGGTATCACCCGCCATCACAAATCGTCATACTCAGTAATGTTATTCACAAACTACGAAGTTATTCAGTTGTACTCTACGATATTTTTATTGTATACAATAATAATTGAATGATATTGTTATATGCAAAAAGGCTAACATTTATTTAATATAAAACATACATCGGTTATCTTATTTATTTTCCATAAAAACAAATTTAAATTCGCGCCAACGCGAACAAGTGTGGCCCATAGATATAACAACATTAGGCTACGACATTACCCTATCTAAAATTACTGTAATTTTTAAATTTAATCAGATTTATTAATGTTTTTACCAATTTAAAGTGTATATTTTCTTTTATTACGTATTTACATATATTTTTTTAATTATTCCTCTTCGTGAGTCTGTTTATTTCTACGGTATGGCTGTCAAATGTCAAATTGTGAATGAAATTTTAAATGTTTGTCAATTCGCTCTTCGCATGAAAATTATTAATCTAAAGCATAAAGTGAAAATAAAAAATATTACTATCGTTATGTACACCTACTGATTATTGTATCAAAAAATATTAACAACAATGAAAAAAATATAAACTTCTGTGGTAGGTGTTAGGTGTATTGCTTTTACTGCATTAATTTTTTACCGACATCGGTTCTAAGGTCCGACCAAAAGTTTTTTTTAAGCCTCATAATGTTTGTTTAAGATCGGTCAGAGTTGTTAAATCGATGGCTCCAGGAAATAAAGATAGACATCCAGGCCACACTGGAACTATACCCAAAACCAAAGTGCGTAACAATTGTAATGTGCCCCAGGAAGCTGTGACACCTACTAGAAGAGATATGGCATCGAATTTAGTGACAGTATGTACCCCATTATTAAGTTTTAAAATCGGTAACACACTCTCTTCCCACATCTTTGCATTGATGACTGAACTAATATGTAAAGTTTATATGTAACAGGCATGTTATATTTTTAGATATAAAGTCCCATGTAACTGGCAATGTGCCAACACACTGTACTGTACCAATCAGAGCAACTCTGTAAAAATTCCTTATAATCTATTTATATTGAAAATATTAATTCATTGGAACTTATTATAATTGGCTGGTAATGCCTTATGGGAGGTTGTTTGTCTAAGTTGGGTCAAAAAAAGGTTATTGTCAATTGTTGCTTCTAAACAAAATTGAAACATCTATGAAGTGCTTAGGAATGATGTCTTTTTGAACTTTTTAGACCTCATTAGATTGGGTGCCTGTATCAGAGTATAATCCGAGAAGTAGCAACTGTAATCAATCACGAAAACAAACAAATAACACCTCTGAACAAGAATTTGCTGATTTGGGTGAGTACATTATACTATATGCAGGCTTATTTGAACTAAGAAGTGATCTACTAAATTATGTTAAAATTTTAGACAATTCAGTGGCTTTTGAAAGTGGATTTGGGAGATTTGTGCCTGTGAGGCCGCAACCTAGGATATTACCCCTTACTGTACAAAATCGGGAACACCTACCTAGTGACCATGAACATATAATAATTAATGACGATGCAAGTTCTTCTGGATCACATACTTTGCATTCATTCTCACAGCAAAATGGTATGGCTATCCGTATTACTTAATAGTGTTTAATGGATAAATACATTTGATAATATTAATTATTCATTTATTGTTTTTAAGGTTTGATACCTCACTCAAACCATGCCGCAGCTGCTGTTATGATTGTGAATCCAACTACTCCAAACACTGTTACAGGAAATAATATGTCACAGTCTTTTAATGTAAGTTATATTTTTAATTCATTTATTCATAACATACTCGCTCTTTATATATATTAAAGGTTCTATTACTGTGTTTATTATTTTCTAGCCTCAAAATCAAAATAGAAAGAATTTTGCAAGAAATCTGAATTCACATCGTCAACATTTTGAAGGCCAGAACAATAATTCAAATAATAACACTAGTCCCGTTGTAACAAATAGCAGATTTGGTACAAAGGCTGTAAATTTAATGAACAATATGTATGATCCGGGGCAAGGAAGTTTCAACAATATTAATGAGAATCATGTAAGTCTTTATCGAATTGGAAACTTTAAATTGTGTATATTACACACATATTTAATGTACTTAAATTAACGTTTTAAGGAAATCAAATAAATTATTGTATTGATTCTTTTTTACAGGTCCATAGGGAGTCAGCACGTGCTTTGGGTGAAGCGATAGTCGCAGCCTGTCCTGATGCAGCTTCTGTGGAGAGAAGACTTGGACAAATAAGGGAATATATAAGAGTTACGTCTTCACTTGTGGACACTATGCGTAATTCCGAAGATGAGGTATGTACCATATAATTTACACCCATACGGTAATTGTTGTATTCATTATTATAAAAGAATATTCATGTCTGCTAAACAAGCCATGCCAATTCAGTTACATTTTAAATCATTTAGTTGTTATTTAATATAGGCCTTTATTGAACACACCAAAGAGGAATATGATGAGCTAATTGAAATGATACAGAAGTTAAAAGAGAGTGAGGAGAAACTAGAATCACTTCTACTAGAGAAAACTTCTGAAACATTAAATGCTTTGCAAGATGAGACTCATTCTCAAACTGAGAGGAAGAGTGACAATGCTTCTGAACAAATTAGCATTTCAATCGTTGGTGATGCTCTTGTCAACAATAATAATTTGAAAAAAGTCACAAACATAGAAAACGAACAAATGAATAAAACAATAAGTAACAACAAAAATAATGAAGAATCACAGAAAGTCATTGACAATAATAGTCTTGGGCACTGTGAAAGTAGTGAAGTGGAGATACACGAGATAGAATCAATACCTTATTCTCCTTCTGACATCAAGAAAGATGATGAAATTCTGAACGAAATCTTACGAAAAAACATCAAATCGTGTGCTGAAAAGATGGCTATAATTGAAGAAATGAAAAGTGTAACTAAAGACCCAAACAACAATGAAAACAAGGTTTATTGTGTGAATTGACGATGTTGTTGATAGCATGGGCTTATTCCTTGATAAATTACATAATATAATATACCCTATTCAATTCTTCTAACAATGCAATTTATTAATCGTTATTTGTGTTTAATCAGAGAAATATAACATAAGTTATGTTATAAAAATTGATACAGGACACTACTAGACCCTTATTGCAAACAATTAGTTCTTTAGGACATTGTTGTCTTTTAATTCTTTGTCTGTTAATTAATAACAATAATCTTAGTTTTGACACTCTTTAAATATCTGCATCATTTTTCTGTGTTTATTTGAATTTTACCCTATAATTTTTGTAATTGTTGTTGAAATGTGTATCTAAGGTGATATAAGATTCTAAAAACAAATATTTAAATAGTTATAATTTCAGCAAGATGTTGTTGTACGACCGGTATCGGTGCAAAGCAATGGATCTGCCTACAGTGAAAACGAATTGTGGCAAAATGAAATTAAAAATAAAATGGAGATGTCCGAGATGCGCCTAACTGCTTTGAAGCAACAGCAAAAGAGACTGATAAAATATCAGGTATGACATTAAGATATAGTCCTTCAAATCTATTATTTTATCTCCTAATTTTATGGTAATTGTTTTGATATATTTAATTTTTGTTACATAATAATTTAATTTTACAGGAGGCAGCAAAACAGCAGCTAGATGAACTTAATAAGCAAAGCCAGGATGTGCCTCATGCACCGACTTCTCATGAGAACTTTTCTACACCACAGGTATTAAAAAGTCCAATATATTAAATCTCTATGTCGTTCACGTTATTAGGAAGAATGGTATTTTTTTTTTTATAAAAATAAAATTGCTTTTGACGATTAAAAATTAGGCTAAATTTATAAGCAACAAAAATTAGTTATACTTACTATACATTGCTGTGGTTAAAATTTATAACCAGTTAGTTTTAAAAATCGAAAATGAATTGAAAAAATTTTCGACTCGGGCAGGACTTGAACCGGCATCGTCAGCGTCCCGTGCTGTTGCTCAGAGCAAACGCGATTATTTTCGATTTTTAAAATTATATAGTGCCTACATGTGCAATAATAAAGTAGTATGTGCAAGTCAAAAATAATAAAGTTTTCAAACGTTATACCTAGTTTCACATCATCATCATCGTCATCAAATTTTGCTATTGTGTTGTTGAGTTTGTTAGAAATATGAATTTAAAGTCGATTTATTTTAATTTTCAGAATGACAACGCCAACTATATAGTGCCGAACCGAATGTTTGCGACGAATCAAATAGGAGTAGCGACCACGTTACCCCAGGAAAGTTTTACTGCTAATAACATGGAAACGGAACACTCACGGTCAAACCATTCTTTGCATAACCAGGATGATAGATTTTCAATGCGAGAAGCAAATATAGCAAGCAGCGAGGTAATACAATTGTCTTGGATGAATTAATTACTGTAGATTAACCTAAGTCCAAGTTAATGGTAATAATAATTCAGCAACTTTTCATTAAAGGAATAAACTGTTACAAAGTTAAAACCTCAATTGTTTAGATTTATAATGAAGTTATTAATGTTAATATTTTTTGGAATTATGTTTTAATAGGGCAAGTGTACAATTAACTTTGACTTTTGAATTATCCTGACTAAAAATACATATACATGCACAGATATGATTTTTCTTTTATTACTAAAAGTTTGTGCAAAAATACGAGCAATAAGGCAGTTTTCTTATTATTACAACATTATTTTCTGAATTCTAGGAAGCAGTTGAGGGCCGCGACAGTGACGCTGACGAAGATCCCGAAGGAATACTACAGGAGCGAGGTAGAATGCTGCAGCAAAAACTACGCGAGTTGCAACTTAAGAAACAGCACATGGAAAATTTGGTATCGTATTTATAACATTTGTAAAAATTATATGAAATACTGTCTATAGTTTACGCGAGTAGTACACATTTAAATAAAACACTTTAACGGTTTAAAACGCGATATATTAGTTAAACTTATTTGAAAATGATTTTTACACTGAGGGAGACTCCCCGTGACCACGGCTGCTGCAAAGTATCCGAAACCTCGGGCCGAAGTTAAAAATCATTTTCAAATAAGTTTAATATCTCGCGTTTTAAACCGTTAGTGTTTTATATAAATCTTGTTATATTGACATGTCAAAATTTGGCTTTATTATCTTGATCATTGTTTTATCTATTATGTAATTTTATATTCTATAACGGTAATAAGATTTATATACAACAAAATATTTATAAGTGGAATGTTAGAACTACTTGTTTTATATTTAAGGTATCCGAATTTCAAAAACTGCAGATGGCAGCCAGTATGGGTGTAGCTCGTAATACATATTCTAGCTCGGGTGAAGATAGCGCTGATGAAGAACCTGCAAGAAAATGTAAGAAATATATCTTTGTTCCTAATATTTGGTTTTCTATATATTTCTTCTACCACTCTATTTATTAATTCAGGTAACAAGTCGGGAGCTAACTTGAAAAACGAAGATCCCTTCAAACTGATGGAAATAAAAGCAATCAAAACGGCCCTGCAGAAAACAAAAGGTAATATAATAAAAGGATACATGATCATATAATCCGTAGTTTTTAAACTTTATTCCGTTCAAGTAACAATTATTTCAATATCAAAATTGATCCCCTTTCCCCCCTAATGAGCTAAACTACTCACTTACTTGCAATAATTAAACGGCCTCCTTAGGTTATTTAACATACTTCTCGGAATAGAAGGTTGTTATGTAATTTAAATAAATGTGTAATTTTTTTTTAACAGTCTACGACGTCTTTTTGCTAAATTGTATATTTTGTGTTGTTAAAGATTTGATGAGATCAGTTGAAACATTCGAAGCGGATCATTTAACAGGGGTCCCTGACGTCACTTTCCATATGCCATCGCATTCTAACAATATACATGATAAGTAAGTATTTAGTTATATTCCAAAAATATATTTACATAGATTTTTATTGATAGAGGACGACATACAAGCATGGGAATATCTAGATGGTGATGAAGTACCCCAGCCATATAACATTTAATCAAATTCGGAAAACCACAGTTTGAAACCGAAGCGTGATTAAACTTCACTATTTCAATATTCCTACCCATTAAATAAAAATAACAATATTATTTTCGTTGGAAGAAACAAAAATTATGTGCGCACTTAATTTTTTAAATTGAAAATTGTTATTATTGTAATTGTCTTGTTGCTTCTTAAGATATTTGACTATGCGTAATGCGTTTGTAAAATGTTATGCCATATTTCTTAGATTACACAAGCTTTTCATATTTTCAAGCTAACAAAATAAAACATATACTTCAAGCACAAGTGGTTGAACAAATTTTGATAGTGCCATGTGACATGTTCATAGCAATTAAATATATATATATATATATCTTTTTTATTTTATTTCAGTAAATCGGAGTGCGACGGCAGTGTTGGGGGGTGGTCGGGAGACGGCAGCGTGTGTCGTGTGCTTAATTCTTTACCACATCGACACAAGTTCACTAATGAGCACTCGCTGCAAGCTCAAAATCACCTACACCCGCAACAGTCTCAACAAATACAACACCCGCAACATGTGCAACCACCGCAACATGTGCAGCACCCGCAACATTCGCAACAGATTCAACATCCACAGCGACTGAAACCGCTCCAACAGCGTGAGCTATCAAGTAAGTATGCAACTTATTGTTACAATCAGAATGTGAATCGTGAAAATATAAATGTTTACTTGGGTTATTAAATTTAACAATATTTATTTTAACACAATTTTAGATAAAGCTAGTAGATTCGTATTCAAAATTGACTTTTATTTGCTATATCAACATACACACAGTTAATATACACATTGTTAATATAATTTTATCCTTGTCTAATGTCCATCAGGCGTTTTCATACATAAATTAATTGAAATGATACAACATTAAAGATATTATGTAAATAAACCAAATACTTTCTTTTTAGGCCACGAAGCTAATATCAACTCTCTCCAGGAGTTAGCGCAGGAACTTCGCATGGAAACTGAGAAGATTATGGGTGAACGAGCTCGAATCAAGGATCTAGTCACCAATAAAGGTATAATTTAAATATCCGGTTATACTAATGTAGCTCTGTAGCTCATTGTGTCGATGGGATGCTTACAATAAGTTAAGAGCGAGAGGTCCTAGGTTCGGACAATTATAAGTTCAACACAGGATGGGCTCGTCGGTCTAACGGTAGCAATCTCTGGCAATCAACGGGTCATGAGTTTGATCGCGACCGGGTCCAACAATTAATTTTTATGATACATTTTGACTTCGTTTGGAATCCACAGATAAAAATTCGTGAAGTTTAATCGTATTTCGGTTTCAGTCTGTGGATTTCTATATAATCAAAAGCTAAAATAGATCGACAGCGCATGTTATATGGCTGTGATATTTTAATTCCCCCCCTCCCCCATGCTTGTTTGTCCTCCTCTATCATAAAAAAGGACAATCTCGTTTTAATTAATAGGCAAGTAGGTAATGGACGTTCTGTGCCAAGTACCATTAATATAAGGCAACTTAACCTAACAGCCCGAAACCTAGGATAGAATAGAAGTTAGATTTGTATTAACGGATTTTCATATATTTTTTTATTGTTTTAATTTAGAGGCAAATCGTAAACAAAAGAAGGTGAATGAGGAATCGGCTAGCCGCGCTAGCTCTTGTCCGGGCCCGGCCGAGCGTAGGCAGATGCAACTGCGCGCGCTTCTCGCCGAAAAGCAGAGAGAACTAGAGGCTCTGCTTAATAAGGAGGTAATACTAACCTATTGATTGAAGCCAGTTAAAAAGTTACTTATTTAAGTGCGTACTGTCTGGGTAAAATATGGGTTAAGAAAGTCAAATCCATGGGGCATGGGGCGAACACAGTTCTATGTCCGTTTCACTGGTCGATATTAACAGACAAGTAGTTGATCAGACTTTTGTGCCCGGCCCGACCGAATCAATCGATTATTTCCCGGGATTCGAACCCAGGAAATGTCGCACTTAAATGTAGGGGCAATGTACTTACTTACCTACTCCGCTGGCGCAGCGACCCAAAGTGGGTCTTGGCCTTCACAACAAGAGAACGCCACTTCCGCCGATCCTGCGTCACGGTTCGCCACTCGGAGACACCGAGTTCCACCAGGTCAAGCTCAACGGCGTCTTTCCAGCGGTATTTGGGCCGGCCAACGGGTCGGCGGCCGTTCGGGATTCCGATATACGCCTTCTTGACGCTTCGGTGCTCTTCCATTCTTTCGACGTGGCCGGTCCAGCGGAGTCTTTGAGCTCGAGATCTCCTCGTTCTTTCGCGGCCGCCAGCTACCGTCTTCCTTCTGTGTCGGTCCCAGAATCTTCCGCAGTATTTAGGGGGGGGGGGGGATGTAATGTGTGTAAAATAAACTATTTAGCTACAGAAGTGATATACTTACTAGTCATATATAATATTGAAATTTTTAAAGCTTATTTTGTTTTATATATTCACTATTCCTTCTTGGTATATTGCAGGTAATTAACTCAAACTCTGAACCGCCAAAAGCGAAAACGGAGTCTTGTGCGGGATCTGTTGCGAATCAATCCTACAGGTACGAAACGGAGAGCTTACATCACCATTTTTATTATAAAGGACATGCACGGTTTTAACTTGATTTTAGGTAAAATACCTCAGCTCTATAACGTCTGAACAAAAAGAAGACCGTCTTTTTAGAAAAATTATATAAAACATTTTTAACGTGGTTCTTAAATACGGTCCGTTTTGGGTGTTTTGCTAGCAAAGCTAAATGTGTACTTCTCGTGTAAAGTACAGACGGTGCTTAAAATTATAAATTCATTAGAAACATGTTGGACCCGGTGGGGAAAGGATCCACGGCCGTTGCTCTATACGTTTGCCGGAGGCATTTCCCCTTCACCTTCTATATTTTAAACAGCATGGCAATACTTACAGCGAGCCAGAAGAACCCGAATCCTCGGAACACATTCAAATGGACTCGCAGAATTCTAGAGAAACCGAAAATTTCAGGGTATTTATTTAATTATTATTTTTTAGGTTTATTACTTATAGTACACAGCACACAAAATACATACTAATGAGAAAAAATCTTAAGTACTAACTTATAAATAAAAGGCGGCCTTATCGCAAAGTAGCGATCTCTTCCATTTGTTATTGGTATTGTAGTATTTAAATTTTACACCAATGTATTATACATATAAATTTCTACGAGTTTGTTTTTTCCTATTTTTATTACTATTTAGTTTAATAGCACATTTCTCAATTGATGTTGCTATATGATTCATATTAATGGATTTTTTTTGTCTAGGGTGGTGGCGACAGCGCTTTAGGTAGTCGATCAAACAACACAGCACCATCGCAGCTCCCCAGTGCTTATTGCAGCGATACGGACAGGTAATCAATGAACCAAAAAATCTGATAACCCTCCCTTAATATTAGTTACATATTTGATTTCATTTTGTCAGTCACTGTTACTGTCAAAATTTAATACTTTCACTTAACAACTTAGACGTTGTCTCATATAATTTTATACAGAATGTGTGCATTCTTGCTTTACTCAATCACTATATAGGGTGTTAATAAAAAATGTTTGCTTTAATTTCAGCGTGTCAAGGAGTAAATCTAATCAAAGGAACCGAGTCCGTCGCCGTCCAACACACGACTCTCGCCATTCTGAAGAGAATACTAATGTATGTGGACTACTCAATAATACAAATCTTTAAAACTAATAGGTTATAAATAGGTTTTACCTTTTGTTTACACATTCCTTTAGATTTAAAGTACATGTTATAACAAATATTTTCGTCATAGGGTGCTTATTTTTAGTATAATCTATATATTATTTCCCTATAAATAAAAGGATTACCAAATTTGACGTCAACTTAATAAATTTAGTCAAACTCATAAAATTAATACGGCGTTTCTATAGTCGAACCGCTAATTGTTCTAATAATTTTCGGTAGATAATTTTGATATTTGAATTGATCATTTCTTGAAAAAATCGCCTTTTTTTAATTTTAGGCACCGCAGCAAAATACTGCGGCAAGTTCCAGGCATGAGCCAAGACCGGAACCGTCAAACGTGAATATGACGCCGCCAGCATCACAACACTGTAATATTTTGTTTTGAAATCTACTTTTATATTATAATTTAATTTTCAATTATTTATGATTTAAGATGTAATAATTGTATGTTACTTCATATCCAATCTTTCTATAAACATTATGAATATTGAGTCTGTGTCCCTTAGGGGCATGAGACAAATATACTTTTGTGTCCGTTTTACTGATCGATTTTATTTACAGGCAAGTAGTTTATGAGACTTGAGCGCTGTCGGCCCGAAACAATTATACGTAACTGTTTCTCCGGTCTTCGAACTCAGCCTTTAACACTATGCTAGGCAACACGTTTGTTCGTTGATTTTCGGTGGAATTGGAAAAAAATATGTTTTTTTTTATAATTAGAAAATCTTTCCTTTCAGCTGAGAATGTAACAAATATGCCTTATCCACATTTGCCACCTTGTTGGAATTCCAAGTCTAACCAGGTACAGTATTCTTAAGAAAATTTACTCGTGGATATTACTTTTTTTAATTCCTTAAATGAAACGGTCGTAATATTGCAGGATATGCGAACTAACCAGTTCACTCAGAACAGCCAGTCGCAGACGATGGAGCGTCTGTTAGGAACACCGCAGATGTCCTTCCCTCCCACTATGCCGTTCAACATGATGCTTCCGTATGGCGGTAAGTGAGCCCCGTACACTGACTTGCCTGACGTGGCCAATGAACACATATTGTTTTTCACCAAACAAAGAAATCTTTGCCAAAAAAAAGACTGCATGTACTTAAAAAAACCGCAGGTTGCTCCACTTTATAAACATTGTTTTAATAAGGAATATAAAATACATAAATTAAAAATTGATTATAATTGTTTTTAAAGCGTAAAAACTGTACGACACGGTCAAGACTTGTACCGGCATCCACAGCGTGCAGTTGCTCTAACCAATTGAGCTACCGTGTCAATTTATAATCGAATTTTAATTTATGTGAAAAATGTTATATAACATATTTTTCAAAAGTCAATATTATACAAATTATACACAATACCACATGGAACACCGATGGAAAAGCCGATGAAGTGTATTTCCGCGATTCGGTTTCAGCCTGAATTTCCAAATATCCACAACCGACATAAGTCGATAGCACATCTTGTTTCGATTTAAAGCTAGGGTATTTCAAATTTCATCATGTGATCCCCATTTAAATTGTACTATTTTGCTATATATAGTGCTATTTTCTATCAGGAATGATGTGCGGTCCGTGCGCATGCGGCTGCTCTTGTGGGGCCTGGGGTGCGTGGTGTTGGCAGCAGCTGCTTCTCCAACAGCGGGACATACATCATTTGCGACAACAAATTAACCATGTGAGTAATATTTCACCGTGTTCTTGAAAGCTTAAGATCAAAAAGTCCTGCATTCAAAATACCTGTTAATAAGATCTATATAGTCTCGTTTTTTTGATAGTCAGGTAGTGTGTAGCAACGTATTGGTAATAAACGACGGGTCCTATTCTACATACGCTATTATATCAATCAATTAACCTTTGCTAGTTCGTCCTTTGCAAAAAAAAAACAATAATAATCCTATTTCTATGTTTTAGCTGGAAGAACGTTGGCGCGCTGAAACAGCGTCACACACGCTCAATAACCAAGTTCCCCCAGGAAATCGAGCCAACAACTACTGGGACAATTTTAGGAGGTAAGAATTATTTAATATTGATTTTTATATTTTCACTGTAAACTTGTTATTTATATTTATTAATGTATTCATTCTATTTCAGATGTTAATGCCTATAGCATATTAGTTTAATTAAGTAGAAATTAATTTTATTCATATAGTTTATACAGCTGAATTCAAAAATATTTTCCATAAGGGTAAGGAATGTGTGACGATCCCTTTTGTGGCTTAATATGTAGCGTTTTGTCCTAATTAATTTCTAAACTTACTAGGCTTGATTGAATTGTAATAATATATAAATAACCTTGGTGATCCCTTACTTATCTGTTCAGATTTTAACCAAGTAAACTGCTTCGGTTTCACTGCTTTTCACGTGATTAGGAAGGCAGTATGAATTATTTTATGTATGTTACTGTATTGTTTTTGTATTGAAATTGAGTATTTTATTTCAGCTACTCCCGACAAAATCTTCTGTCGACAAATAGCAAAACGAACGCGGATGGTCATTTGGGTGCATCGCCCGCAAATCCACACCCTTTAGTTGAACGGTCTCACAACTCCCTACGGCGAGCTTCATCCCATGCGTCACATACATCCCACGCGTCGCCCTGCGCTACGCCCAAACGCAACACGAACGCCGAAGAGCCCCCGCGACAAGCCCGCGCCAACGCAAACGTTGCCTACGAACGGTCTCTTTCTTTTTCCTCCGCGCCAGACGTTCTCAATCTCAACCAAAACATCGAAGACCAAGAAGAAACGACCGTCGCGAACGCTAATATCAGACAAGAGCCCGCCAACGCTCTCAGAAATCTCAACATAACCAACCCCATACCCGAAATAATTCAATCTCACTCCAATAATCTTAATGCGACTACTAACAGTAAGAAGAAATCGAGTGCAAAACTACCCTCGAAAAATTCTGCTAATCGACGTAATTATAACATGCTTGATTTCTCGCAGACAAGCAACATCAATATAGCGAGCACTTCAGAAACACCCAGCCTTAATCACAATTTGGCATCTACAAGTCGCGAGGTGCAGGATAAGGCTACGTCCAAACTTTTCGACTTACTCCGAGAGAATATATTCTCGGAAGTCACGACTTTGATCGGTGTCAATGAATCGCATCCGGATTTCTTGATACAGCTGTTCAAGGAACTAAAACACATCAGTTCAGACCGGCTCAGACAAAAGGTTCTACAATCTATACGACAAATTTTATCACAATATAGCGGCGCCTTAGAAAACCCAATTGTCGACACGACTCATGATGATTATACCAATGAAGCGGTATCATCCACGGATCACGAAAATTATCATTGCGAAATGCAAAATAGTTGCTCTCAAATCGACAACAGAATCGTTCGTTTCTTGTTCTTAAAAAGTGATGAAATATTCACACCAGAACTCATAGAAACATTAGCAAACATTGTCGTTAGTAACACAACTGATAGCAGACAGCACAAGAAGCTTCTAGAGTCGCTTTCAAAATATGAAGGCATCAGAGTTCGTGATGCTTCTAGCGACATTATTGAAAACTTATCGATCACGACTGGTGTCAACGATGCTGAAGACTCTACGCATCACACCAGCGAAATATCTGAACCTTCGATTCTGCAAGATGTCGCTGGTTCCTTGAACTTATTCAGTTCGAGCGAGACAAGACTACATCAAATGAATGCGTGTCCTTACGACATGTGGCCGGGGCATGTTCACATGGATATAGATTCGACAGATATCCACGATAACAATAGCCAGGAAGGGAAATCTGATCTTATAACATGCTCGGAAATGCTTAACGGTGATTTAGCTGAAGCAGATCAGACTTGTCGCTCCGATGTCAGTGAAAACGTAAATAGGCAAGACGAGACTGGAGCCAACGCGGAGGCGCTGCCAGACGTCGTCGACACGGAGGAAGTCACACCCACTGAGGTAATACAACAAGTACTTTATTGTAGATGCCTTCCACTAATGAACTGCGCTAACCGCTACAATAACTAACAGGTCAATAAAACTAATGTACTTAACTCTTATACTCCAATCTTTTACCTAACCATAATAAAATATTTACAGTTTTTACAGTGTATTCCAACATTACCATTACTTAAATGAAATAAATATGAAAACATCTTTCTGCATTTTCACTTACTGCTTTTGTCTATATATAGTGATTATAAAATAATTTAATACTATACCTAGCATACACTTAAATCTTTTCTCTTCTACTATTACTAATAAATATATTCTGAATGCTCAATAATGATCACTACATTAAAATTTCATTGATATTATACTTCATATTAAAATTAGAGCTTTCTAAAACTTATATAATGAGTTAGACTGTATTTCAACAGTTAAGTAAAATACATATTTCAATATTTTAAATAAATTTATTACAAATAATTTAAAACATAATTCAGGTACAATTATCACAGTAAAAAAGGTACATTAAAAAGACTAACACATTTTAAAGAGAAACCTGCATAATATGCATATGGAGTATAGTTGTAATATTATATTTGTATTAAAGGCTGAAGCTGAATGGATCGGACTTGATCGTGTGCCAACAAGGCTGCATATGGAAGATTTATCTGAAAAACAGAAAGGTGATATTAATATCTCATATTGGTAATGCAAACACTCAAACAGCTAACTTATTAGCTTTAAAGTTTGAGTGGGCCCTGAAATAAATATAATTAGTTCTTCCTTTACGGCACCTGCAACAGAAAAACAGAGTAAACTGACATTACTATTTTTATTTTCAGAATAATTTCGAGGAGCTTTGATTGACTACGAAAATTTCTATTTAATTTAATCAATATTATGTACCATTATTCGCGGACTATTGCTTGTTAACGCAACATGAAATGTATTTATTGTCTAATTTATATAGCACAAGTAAAATATGAGTAAAAGATTGACTGTCTTTAAATAAAAAACCTCCCTCTTCCTAGTTTTAACTTTATTTAGAAAACTTCTGAAGTTATAATACTCAAAAGAGAAGCTTATTCTAAGAATTTAGCACTTATGAGTCTTTTAGGAATAATTGTCACTGGTCTGTTCTTATTATTTTTTTCACACACACTGATAAAAGTTTCCACCATGAATATGCCAATAAAGAGTTGCCAATAAATCTTCTGCAGTTGAATCCATTTTTTTCTCGTTTGTCTCAGGTTTATTGCTTTTCATTGTTTGTACTTCTGCAGATAAAATTAACATTACTTAAACTTTTTATTAATATTTAATAACATTACAAGTTAATTTTTTACAATTTGTACAAAAAAAGCTATAACATATGGACCATGAGACAACGAGAAATGTCTGGATTGTTGTGAGTTGGGCGCAGTAAACATGGATTGTAGGTGGAAGTCGGTGGCACCGTTACCTCTGAAATAAACCGAAATCTGTCATAGTGTGCCCTTGTGTCATTGACAAAAAGTCAGACCCAGCTTTGTTGCTTTTTCTTCGAAAGAACTGTCATTTATCTCTGCTATACAATGTAAAATGTATTAAGAAAAATTTGATTAACATTACAAATAACACTACAATATTAAAACTGTGCTTGAAATCATACTAACCAAAATCCTTACTTACTAACAGTGCCCAGATGAAGACACACAATACAGTAATAAACTTATTTCCTTCCACCTAAATAATGTAAAATATGGCATTGTTCAAAATACACAGTTAAAAATATTTCATGTTGCAGAAGTATCTCAAAGTAATACTTGTGATAATAACAAATATAATAGAGATACATAAACCTTCTATGATATAATTTCTTCTGTATATAAATGTACATTTTTAAATTCAAGAATATTACTTAATACATTCACCTTGTGTACAAATCACTAAAATTATTAATTAATAGTGTTATTGTTTACTTCTAACATATAGAGAGGCATTTAAACATTCTCATCACTGATCTAGAGTAATACAAGCATAATAATAACACAAAGTAATGTTATTTTTCTTGAGACAAACATACTTAAGATTACCCCTTGTAAAAAAAGCACTCAAAAAGATACCCACTCATAAAAATTATGAACAATACAATAATGTTATAAAATACTGAAGAGTAAACAATTACAAACATTTGTTATACATAAACACATCTTCATAACAATAATGTATAAGAAAAAGCAACAAAACAAAGGGAATGTAAATTGTGTTCTGTATCCTCTATACAGTACAGTAAACTTCCAAGATTCTAAGCAAACAAACTAAACAAAAAAGGAAACCCCAGTAAATGTTTTAAGAAGTGCTGGTGCAGTTTTCCAAGTTAAAATTCAATGAGGTTTCAACATCAAACATAATACTAATGCTCACCTTGGCGATGTCGTTTGCAGCGCGGGTTTCCGCTATCAACGGCACTCCGCTTCCTTGTATTGCCTTCAATTAAATTTAGCGATGACTTCGACGGCACTGGATTATTAGAAACTTCGAGCATCTCAGAATCCACATTGTCTTGCATAGGTTCCGATCGATTACTTGGTTCATGGTAGCCATAGTAGAAGTTTGTTGATATGTGAATATTTCGACATTGACCCATAAAATAATTTGCTTCACTGCAAATAGGCGCTGGCCGTATAGCGTCAAAATTGTTTTTGGCATCATGCATGGGGTAGAAATCCATTCCGCTTGCAGGCATATTTTTAATTTTCTTCTTAGTTTCAGGTAATTTAAAACTGATATTTGTTAATTTAAAATTGTTATAGGTTAGAAACACTGATATTCAAGACGCTGTTTTCCAAGTTAAACTTTTGTGTATTTATATAAAATAGTTAACATTTATCGACTTCGCTGCAATAATTAGTTTATAGAAAAAAGCTAAACCGTATTGTATATTCGCTTTGCATAAGCGAAACTGGAAATGATTTGCAAAACGTGAATGGCGCGGCTTGAGAATGTTGGATGAAGCTAGCTGGGCGCGGCGATCTAGGCTCTAGCGAATAGTGACACTTGACAATTGACGTGAGGAAAAGATTAGTTAGGGTTTTTGGAGTCTGTGATTTTAGAATTCCCAGTGATATCTTTGCGTTGCTTGTCAATTGATAAGTTTAAGATTTGACATTGAGTGACATTCGAAATTGTTATTTAATTCTTGAATCACGGTAAACGAATAATATTAAAAATAAATCTAAATAACCAACAGCTAACAACGGCTAGTTTGTAATCCAGATTTTATTTATTACGTAGAAATAAATATTATTGAAACAGAAACAGTTACTATATTTCATATTAATAATATACCAGGATGTGTCGAAAAAATTATTAATTTAATCAAAGTTTATGGGAAACGCAAAGCTAAGTATTCTACTTCTAAATCAGGATGATACCCTTTACAGCTTCAGCCCTTTGTAGAAAAATAGGATGCCGATACATGCAGTTAAAGGCTTCAACTTCATTATATATTAGGCCTCCTCGATATAATTGCAAAGTTCATTTAAAAATCGGCTGCAATACCAGAACTATTAGGTATCTTCATGTTTCATCATATGTTAACTCTAAAAGTGAAGCAAAAAATTCACAAGATCAACAGCAAGTAAAAGAGAATGACTCTTTAAAAGTGTCTCAAGTGATCTCCAAGAAAGATAATATAGTTGTTAAGACTGATATAGACAAAGATCAAAAAGTCACAAAAGTAACAATTGAAAAAACAAAAGATCCCAGTGCAGAATCTGCCGTTGCACCTCCAGGTATTCGTGAATTTATTTTTATGTATTAATTTAAATAAAATTGTAGGTCTTACCAATTTTTTCCATAATTTAAGCTAAGAAGAGACTTCTCATAGATTTTTCTGCATCATACACTGAACGTAATTTTATCACGCCAATGAGAGCAATGACAGAGTATTTATTAAAGCAGTCTGACTTAGAAACACTGCCGAAGGTCTTAAGACGTTCACCATATGAATCTGAACCTCCAATAACTGTTTATTATAGAAAAGATGTAGAAGCTAAAGCAGTTGAAGTAAGTAGCAATACCAATGTATAATCATTATCTAGAAATACTACTAAGAGGTCAGGACATAGCCAGTCATTGATGCATTTAAATTTGTTCAAAGGTTTGGGGCTCTAAAGAAAGTTTAGAAAAAGAACTTTTAAGAAGAGAGTTAGATAGGAGGAGATATGAACAAGGTAATATAAAAAGAGAATGTGTAAGATGAAGAAATAAACACTGTAACAGACAGAATCAAACCCAGTACCAATGGTTGAATGGATATCTTGTGTTTGCTCTACCAGAAATAAGTTATAATTGTTTGTAATATGTTTTAGATGTGTTCACTGTTAAAAGAAGACTGCGTAATTATAGAAGGGAAATGGGTCATAAGCGGCTTAAGCATGGAGTTGAAGAAATGGGCCTGAAGACAGTATCAGGGAGAGTTGTGCTTACTGCTGTTGCCATGTAAATATATGATTATAGCATTTGATGTTTGTACAGTATTCTTAGTAAAACTGATCCATAAAACCAAAATGGAGTAAAAGGACTACCTCCTAGTCCTTCTTTGATTATTTTTATGTACAGAGAATTAGGTAATATGACATACAATTTACAACTACAGTGTAAACTCCATGTAACGTCACTCTATTTAACGACAAACTCTCTTAAGCGTCGAAATTAATTGGCTTTGGTTGGTTTAGCTTGTTTTTCATACAATGTTTCTTCTCTCCATTTAACGACAACTCTCTATAACGCCATAAAATGCACAGTCCCTTCAGTGTCGCTATATAGAGTTTACACTGTATTTATTTATACTCATGAACTACTTTAAAAAATCATACATGCACTAGTCTATTTCATTGTGGCTAGAGATTAAAAAATAAGAAATGAAACAAAATTTTTTTTTTTGCATCTCTTTCAGCAATGGATGCAATTTCGTCTTTAAGCTGTGTGCGTGGCTGTATACAGGGTCACATAGCTTATTTTCGGAATGTATTCATTCTTTAGCAGACACTGTTAATCAGTTAATCCTTGCATATGGAATACATAAGTCGGTGCAGGTAAGCATTATTTTTAATCTTAATAATTTAAGGAACATGTTAGTTATTTCTTATTGCACTCATGAATTGAATAGTCATCTTCAAGTGCTGTGTGTGTTGTCCACTACGATATCTGAGAAGTTAGGGTTACTAACATGTCTTTACAAACAGCTGAGCTAATGTTGATGGAATTGTCTGTATGTGGCGTCTCCCATTAATGTTTTGAATGTCAATACATAATTTAAGGAAATTAAATAGCTATTATTAGATTGCAGACCCTGATCATCCATATGGCTACACAAACATGCGATATGTGTCATCACTGATATCTGGTGTGGGAATATTCTGTGTTGGCTGTGGATTATCCTTCTATCATGGTGTTACTGGAATTCTGGACCCGCAGCCGTTACATGACTTCTATTGGGTTGGTTAACAAAATAAGTAATAACAATAGCTAGAATTTCTATACAAGCTATAACTTGCGCAAGAGTTTATCAATAGATTGAAAAAATTCGTTGACGACGTGTAGCTCGATTTATGTAATAGTAGTTAGTGTAGAACAACAGCACGAAACGCTGTTAATGCTGGTTCAAGTCCCGGCCGTGTCGTAATAAATTTTTACTTTATACAACTAAATTATTTTATTAAATTTTGTGTTGCATTTTCTGTATGGGAAAAATATTGCAGGCATACTTTGTCCTGGGTGGTGCTGTGGTGTCAGAAGGAGCTACACTTATGGTGGCGTTAAATGCAATACGAAAAGGCGCTAAGGAAGCTAACATGACCTTGTATGAATATGGTAATTATAAATAAAAAATTACATTGCGCAAGAGGTGCATGCGCAGGTATTGCATGCACCTCTCGCGTTGAAAAAAAATCGACGATGACGTGTAGGACACGGTAGCTTAATTGGTTAGAGCAACAGCACGGAACGCTGTGGATGCGCGTTCAAGTCCTGACCGTGTCGTAAATTGTTTATAACTAAAATCGATTTATAATTTATCTTTTCAGTGATGCGCAGTTCTGATCCGTCCGTGAATGTGGTGTTGTTTGAGGATACGGCTGCTGTAGCTGGAGTTATTGTAGCGGGAAGCTGTATGGCCATCTCTCAATACACGGGCAATCCGTTGCCGGATGCGATCGGTTCGCTGCTTGTCGGTACATTGCTGGGTGGCGTCGCGTCATTCATTATATTGAGTAACGTGGGCGCGTTGGTTGGAAGGTAATGTATCATAATGTTTAAAAATATAAATGCCTTAATAATAAACCTATTATTAAAACAAGAAAACTGACTGCTTCGGCGTATTACTATAAAATTATTTTAAAGACGCGATGGCGATTCAAATACAGATATTGTTGTAGTAGATAAAGACTAAGAACTTTAAAGTCCTAGAAACGAGTTAGTTGATTTGATAAATTTTATTACAATACAAGATTGATAACAAAAATATTAAATAATTTATTCCACACAAAAATAGATGTTTGTGGAGTACCTGGAAGAAGGCATAACACCGATTTTCAGTGACACTTGACATTTGAATTAGAACAGTACATATAAACATGTCTTCACAAAATGTAATAAAGTAAAATTAGTTTTACATGTTTTCATATTTTTATGTCTATGCGCAGATCTATTCGTCAAGAGCAGTTGGATGAGATAAATAGCGTGCTCGAGCGAGACTTCATGATTCGAGCCATACACGACGTCAAGGGGATCGATATTGGAAGCAACCTTATACGATATAAGGTATAAATAAAGGTTTTCATATATGAAATGTTTCTTCAAAAGACAAATAACTAGAAATTATGATCTAGCATAGAATAACGTTGCTTAGCATTGCATAAAGAGCGATCATTTGTTTTCGAAGACCAGGAAAAGATTATTTTGGTCATGCAGAGTACAAAAGTCTGATCAACTAAAACAAAATAAAATAGATCACTGAAAAGGACAAATGCGTCTACCATAGATAATCTTTTGTATGGTAAATTTTCTAACTTAAAGGTACATAAAAATCCATTTGGTTTATGGTTTGAACACATTGAAGGTCAAGACTAAGCTGGAAAGTCTTGACACCAGGCTTTGATATTATATTAATGTTATTTTTTGTCTTTAAATTTTTTTATATGACGCCATTTGCAGGCTGAAGTGGACTTTGATGGGAGAGCCCTTACGAGGTCTTATTTAGAGAAACATGATCTGAATGCTTTATTAGAAGTAAGTTTATTTACCAGTTTTCATCTATAATCCTATTTTGTCATATACTTTGTATGTTAAAAGATTTTTTTTTGTTAAGGACATGAAAAAAATCCAGACAATCGACGATGTAGAAGCATTCCTTCTAAAACACGGCGAAAATATTGTGGATATGTTAGGAGGTGAAATTGATAGGATAGAATTGAAACTTCGCGTAAGTTTTTAATCTATAGTTGAATTCTAAGTTCACTGGCCCTGCGTATACATTGGAATTTAAAACTCATATGCATAAAACATTTAATAAAAACCTTTTCCTTCCAGAAAAAGTTTCCACAAATACGACACTGTGATTTGGAGATATTGTAAGATGAAGATAATTTGTAAGTAGGCTTTATAAGATCCTGTGTGACATTTTTTTTTCGCTCAGAGCAATAAGAAAATGTCTAGAAGTGAACTGTTCTTCTTAGAAAAGTTTCTAGCTAGATTAAAAAACTAAAGGTAATGTAAGTCGTCGTTGACGCTTAGTATATATAATGGGTCTTTCTCAAATATTTATTAACACTACACTCTAAAATAAATATATATAGCTTAACAAAAGACACAAAAATAAAATTTTTTTTTGGTACTGATTTTTTAAATTAAGTCACACGCAATTTGTATAATTTTTGGAATCTTAATTTAGTTTGCTTTTTTTATTAGCGCAGGTGGGTCTTGGCATCCCAAATAAAAGAACGCAACTTAATTTATTCTCTCTTAAAATTGAGACGACATTCCTAATAAAAAATGAGTTTTCATTTTTGCATTGACAAAATGACATAAGTCAAGACCATAGTGGATATACATATATGTTCGTAATTATTAAAGATATATGTAAAATACGACGCAATACTCTCGGAACTGTCACTACACTTTTTGCATTTCCTTACGTATGACAAAACCCAAAAAATTATAAGGAACTTATACCACAAAATAAACTACACTAATTTGTATTTATAATATAAATACCTGTTGTAGAATATTTTGTGTATGTAACATTTTCGTTAATATCCATGGATTGTAACCCAATATAAAGACAATAACACTGTCAAAGATGTTAATGTACTCTCTTAGGGACTATCGCTTAGCTGTAACCTTTTTCTGTGATGTAATTGTATAATATGCTTAATTGATAAGGAAAATGTTATTTAAAAAAAAAACTAAACATGAAATACATAAATCTTCCGAAGAGAAAAGTATTTTTATTTATTGGAAATCATTGTCAAATTTATCTGCCTTCATTAGTCAAGGCACTACGTTACTTCAAGACACACACTTGTTTTATTTTCATTGATTTTACTTTGCTCAGCCGAAACTACTGCTTCTCTTTTTTACTATTACAGAGGCAGCCTGGTTCTATGGAGTAGACATAAAACAAAGAATTCAAATAATTTATTTCATACAAAATATAACTTCATTAAACTTACAACTTCAGATACATTAGTCATTGTAAAACAATATATTGATAGACGCGAATTGACTTTAATTGGTTATTACTTTCAAACTACCTTAGAAATGATTAGCAATACAATCTAAGGCTTGCTATTGAATGGATGGATATTTTTTGATAGATTAATTAATGTTAGGGACAATCCACTTTATATAAAATTTAAGTCTTATTACAAATTGGAGGTAAACTAGTTCTTTAATTACCAAACTCTCCAATTATGTATTAATAATGGAAATAGTGTAAATGCCTTCTGTAGCACCTGTACTAGGAATTTCTTTCCTTCCGTATTTGTTTACACAACCCAATATATTCTTAAAATATTCAAATAATATAAAAGGAATAAATCTAGCAGGTTACTAAAATCTGTGCCAAGCATTTTAAACGCCAAAAATGCTTTTTCACAGTTCAATGCTCAATTTAGAAGCTTAAAAATGATATTCCGTCACACGGAAACTGTGTTGAGCAACTATTTTTTTTAATTTGCACTTTAACAAAAATATCTAATTATTATTTATCACAATAGTATTCACAGTTTTAATACGCAGTCTAGTATGTTGTTTTTAATGCAGATTGAAGAGTAGGTTATCAGTCCACGTAAATGCTGACTATTTCAGCTAATTCCCATATGAAAGACATATTTGTATGACATGTTAAAGGGTAAACTACAAATTTATTTTAAATAATCCAAGTTAAAACATCCTTCAGCTGAATATATAATTGGATAACTGAAATAATCCTTTGTTTTTTTATGTGCATGATAATAAGAAATGCCAATACATTGCCAAGTCCAAAATACAGTAAAAAACTTATATAGCTGGTTTAGTTTGTGGGAGACAAAGGTTATAATGAGCTGTTTTGTTCCAAAAGTCTGATGTCTTCCAACCACACCAGCCCTTGCTGATGACTGTTTGAATTTCATCTCCTCCAGTATAATGTGGATCCAGGATAAGGTAGCGAGTCTCATTCTTATCCTCATTGTATTCAATGCCAATTATTGTGTGGGCTAAAACACCACCACCTAGAAGCAAATTAATCGTATTATTAATTAGAAAATGTATACTTCTACAAATATTATTAAATGTTAATGATTGTGAGAAAAAATAGAGATGCGCCGAGTAAGTCAATTCAGGTCAAATTTCCATTACGCGCGCTCAAACAAGTACAAAAGGTTCGCGCCGGACAAAAAATGCACTTCCTTTAATATACCCATCACCCCGCCCACGCCTTTTAACTACCAATCAGTAATTTTTTTGCAAACGCGTTTATTAATTGAGATTTTCAGATTTCCTTTAGGAAAGGTGATTTATCACTTATAGACACTTTTAGATCAACATTTTTCTTTTAATTACACTTCCCTAAATATATTGCTTTTCTTAAACAAAGTTTACTCATTATCAAACAACGATATAGCCAAGTTATTCGGCCGTGTACGAATATATAAAAACCTGTCGAATACGCAGAGTACCTAGTATCAACTGAGTATTTGGTCCATCTCTAATAAATAAATATGTTTTTTTTTTCACATCTAAGGGGTCAATTTACATTTTGAATAAGCCAGGGCTAACACATAGACTATGATGGTATATACTATATATCATATATAATAGGTTTTACATGTATGTTAATATGAAAATATACAAATCTTACCAATCATAATTGGACTTCCATGTTGTTCAAAATGATGTATTAGTTCAGGAGTGTATGTTTGCAATTCTGTTCCAGTATTGGCAAATAAGATTCGAGACTGAACGCCAAGTAATGTATCCAAACAGAACATAACCTCAGTCGAACCTATCCATTGCTTTGATCCTAAGAAGGTAGATGGCTTATCCCCAATTGTAACAAGGCACTGCTGAATTTCTTTATGTGTTGGTACTTCGACAGTGGAGTATCCCTGGTGCCTGGAAATTTGTGAAAAAACAATTATCTATACTAATATATAGCTGAAGAGTTTTTGTATGTTTGAACGCGCTAATTTTACGAACTACTGGTTCGATCGTTTGGTAATTTAAGAAAAGATGCTTAGTAAATATAACTTATTAACTATATAGTTTACTTGAGGAGTGAGCCAGAACTGGGCTTTATCTTAGCTTTTGGGACTAGGCTGAGACCACAAGTATGACCATTTTTCATAAAATACATATCAAATTTTAATTCTTACTTAAACCATGAGAAGATAGTTTGCATCGAACGATATGCGCAACCCCAGCCGTCATCATTGAAGTTATCTTGCATGTAGTGGTAATATGTGTATTTGCCACGAACAGTCACTACAGACACGTTAGCTTTATTCTGTGGTGGAATGGCTTCGTGGGGGTTTATCAATTTGGCACTATTGAATATGTAGGCATTTCCTCTTCTAAATATTGGACGAGCTAATGGCAGATCTAATTGTTCATGTAACAGTTTTCTTTCCTTTTCTAAAATAATTCAAGATATTATTGGTTAGTAGATTTCCTATCAATATTACATCTCTTGTGGTTCTTTCCACACTCTTCTATGTTATTTTAATATAATAAAGTGACTCACCCATACTTTCATCAGGAATTCCTTTTGGGACTATCCTAGTTATGAAGTGTCCAACTGTTGGGGGCATGTAGTGGAAAGTTTCTGGTAAACGAAGACCTGCACCATCGCCAATTCCTTCTTGGCCTATACTCAAACAATTATTTTACCAGGTTAATGACATAAAACTATAATTTACAAAATCAACCCTGAGAATATTAAAACCAAATTACCTAACTGCTCAATCAAGATACTTTCCAATAACTTTAGTGATCGACATGTTGCTTCAACAAGAACATTATATAGTTCTGAGAGTTTTGTGTTGCGATGAATCATTGCCAATGTATCAATCCTCAGTGGCATACTAATGCAAAATGCAGCTAAAATTAAAAAAAGTAAAATTTTTACTATGTAAGGATAGTTATGACACATATTTTGTAAATACTACACATCCTTTTTATGTGCAAACAAACTCACGCTTTCTTTGTGTAGTCATCATTTTAACAGCTGTTTTCACTAATTTATCTGATAGAATATCCTTAGTTGCTTTCATGACTAAATTGACAGGTACAGGTTCCTAAAAAGTAGAGTAGGTTTAAAAAAAAATAAGTTTTTATTACACATTGCTCTACTCACATAAAGATACAAAAAGGGACTTACAATATTATTAATGTGATATTTTTTCTTTTTTGATGATTGTTCCGGGATCCACGAATCAACGAGGTCTCCAATATTAGCTTCGGTACTAGTGCCACTAACTCCTACATCCGACGCTATACCAAATAAGTAAATAGATGTCCCATGTATTTGAAACGAGACTTGACCTGAAGCTATCTAAAATTAAAACGTTGCTGCATATTAAAAACTAAAACTTTTCTAAATTCATGTTGATAAACAGTAGAGAAATAATTATTTAGGTTTAGTTAATATTGTTTGCTTTTTTATGTATATAATCAGATTGTATAAAAGATGTATAGGTATTACACTTATATAAGAATATTAAATACCTTTTTCCTCTTAGTCTGAAGAACATTCTTCACACCTGCAATTGTAGCTTCACATGTCAAAGGCAGTACAGTGTTTAATCTAACATGAATAAATTGTTTCCATAAGTCTTCACTCTCAAATATGTCATATTGAGTCTCTTCAAACTTTTCATGCACCAAAAAGTGAGCTTTAATTTCCTTTTCTTTATCGATTGTTAAGAATAATGGATTGTCTGTTATATCTACATCCTGAAATATTAATATAAGCATAGTTAGATTATATCATTTGATAATATTAAAGCTATTTTTAACTTGAAATACCTGCAAGATTTCTTTCGGTTTTGATTCTAAATTGGGCGTGTCACTGAATTTTGCCACACCACATAGCTCAACCTCAGCTGGAAGATTTAGCAATAATTGGCTGTACGATTTCTTCTCATTCTCAAAAAACTCTAAGCTGAAACCGACAACTAACAAAGTTCCATCGTACATAAGGCCATATAAACATCCCGTTGACTCGCATGTTTCAGACTTTAACAATCTCTGCAAGAAAAATAATAAGAACTTGAAATCAACCGCAACTTCCTTCTGGTACTAACGATGACGTCCATTATAAGGTATATTTCAATTATATAAAAATCTAAATTAACTAATGTTATTTAATAAATTTGTCGCACTGTTGAAAGCTAATTATTCAAAGAAACATTTGAAAACAAATAATATGAAAAAATATATATTTTAAAAACATTACCTCGATCACGTATTTTGATATTTTGAGACGTGGTGACATTTTTAAAAAAGTTGCCAAATGCCAATAATAAATTATTATAATGATCGTCATTTAACTCTTGCCACAGATTACAAAACCTTAATAGACACGCCTAAATTTTAAACAATCAAGAAATGACAAAAACGTTTATGCTTTGATTTTCTCAATCAATCAATTTTTATTCGACCTCATTTGGATTTTTTGTGATCGTATGAACTATTTTAGGAAAAGTGCTATATTGACAAGGACTTAACACATGGCCTGCATATGCTTAATCCAAGTACTTATCTAGAATAATATATCATTCTCTACGCCACCTGTGAATCTGTGGTTATTTGTTGTTTAAATTATATATTCGTTTTCCAACATTGAACAAATATAAATTAAAAACATTTACAAATGATGCTCTTGTAATCCCAACTTTAAAAACCCAAAGGCTGGAATAGCATAAAGCTATATCCACAGGCACTAACTAAACTAACAAACATGGCACTAAATAACTTTGTCAAAGAACATTCCATTAATATGGACAAAACAAAATTGCTTAAAACAGAAAGAAAAGTAAACATCGATAGCAATTCACCTGATGGATTGAATATTAAACAACAGGTACCATGGAAAGTAAAATGTGTTATATTTACATTATGCCTTACAATTTTTATATTCGCGTTGTTTCTAAAAATTAAACACAGCGAAGACATAACAAAAAATTTTAACAGCAAGCTAACAGAAATAAAATTAAAATTTGCTTCGTTATATGACATGGATGCAGAAATTGCTAAAACGATCCGGTTTCTTAAAAGATTTGAAATGCAAAGAGCAGCAATGGAAAACAAAATAAGCACTTCATAAATAATTAAAGCCATATTATTAATATGGGAACATAATCTGTATGTAATGGTCAATATGAATAGCTGTTTAGCATTTTAAATGCTATGATTGGTCACTGTACCTAATAAAACAAGATGTTAATGTGAATAGGCTTAGTGTATTTATTCTGATGTCTCATTAGCAATACAAGTATTTATAACTTCTTCAATAGTTTTACTTCTCTCCTTAGCTACATTTAAAAGTTTTTTATGACCATCAGTTCCTAAGGTAGCACCACCAAATTTATGGATACCACACAATAGTCCCTGGTTCCAACACACCACTAGATTTGCACCATTTCCGCCACACATTTCTTCTTCAAAGGAAGTTGGGTCCATTAATGCAACATTGCTAAAACCAAAATTGATGTTTATGTTAAAAAGCTTAAATAGCATTTAATTTATTTTCGTGACCTACGAACTGACCTATCTGGAGATTGATATATAACAAAACTGGTTGCTACTGGAAGGCCAGTGACTTTTAATGGATGTCTTATGTTGACATCCACCTTTATCTCCTCCGTTTCAATATCATATATGACATGAGGCAATGATACTGAAAAAAATATCCATATTGTAAATGTTTAGTGGTCACATATAACAAAAAAAAAAATAGAGCAACCTTACATGTTTTAAGGCTTGTCATTAAAGTGGCTAAGCAAGCATCTATTATACTTCCATCATATTCCAAGCAAGCTATATCACAATATAAAACCCAGGCTAATTTATCCGACACTATACACAGGTCCTTTAGATCTATACACTTTGAATTTTTTAATATATCATTTACAGTATTATTAACCACTTGAGCATAGTCCGATGGAGGTCCAGGCTTAAATTTAGATGAGCACAGAGGAAGTAGTTCCACATTTGTAACAAGAAATCCATTATCTGGTTCCTCAGCTTTAGGTGTTGCTAGTTCCTGTAAAATTTATGTTAAGTGATGAAAATATTTTAGAGACAATATTATAAACATGGAATAAAATGTATTACCAGACTAATCCCACATACTACTGATGTTTTTCCGCATTTTATTAATGATGATGCATCTGCAGTATTAACTGAATTTGCATTTAATTTAATACTCCTTTGTTGATCAAATTTTCTACCATCAGGTCTAACATTTACAGAAATGTGATCATTAAAATATTTAAATGGCTGGAGAACTCTGGAAATTCATAAAGTCTATAATTCGTTTTAGATTTCACTAAAAAATCAATCCAAGCTACGGAAAATACAATTTTATCGTCATTAATTTATATTAGGTGTCTTTGCTATATATTGGGACTACTTACTTATACTCCTCCATATTTTACACTTTATCACTTGAATGATTATTGTAAGACTATCTACTGCACTGGAAACTAAATATTACTTTAAACATAAAGTTTGCTTTATAAAATCATAGCTTTGTATTTTGAGAATATTTTTACTTTATTATAACTTTATAGTTTTATAATGTAATAAAAGCTATATTCCATGAATTGAGGGTGTAACTTATTAAATAATGTGTGGTTCAGTATTCAATATTGTTTATTTGAATTATATAAAATGTACTTTCGAAGTTCATATATGTATTAAATACGAATGTTTTTAATGTAATGCAACTTTTTGAGGTTAACTTTAAAACAACACGGTATCATCGTTGTTATAATCTATAGTTTCAACTAAGTCTGCAAAATTTTGTCAATTATTTTTATGTATAAAATATTTTGAAGTAAAAACATCACATAATACTTATTTTACTCAATCAACTACGATGCCGATAATCGTAGAATCATTATCTTTTTTCTCTACATAATTAATTCAGAATATTTTTTTCATTTTAGTTTACGCTTGACAGTTGACAGCTGACGGTGACGATTCAACGTTGACGTTTCTTTTTATATCGGCGTTTGTTCGCTAAGGTGTGATTTTATATTTTAATCTTTTAAAATCTGTATAATATTTAAGTTATTACTGAAAACTAGTTTAAATTATGTGGTCGTCGTAACGTGATACAAAATACGTTACTTATATTTATGTGATTGTGTACACTTTCAGATTGTTTACAATGGCTAAGCCTAAAGGAGAGAGGAAAGGCAAGTCGGCTATAAATGAAGTTGTGACCCGTGAATACACTGTTAACTTACATAAAAGACTTCATGGAGTTGGATTTAAAAGACGGGCACCTCGTGCTATCAAGGAGATCCGAAAGTTCGCAGAAGTACAAATGGGAACTCCAGATGTACGAGTAGACACAAGATTGAACAAATATTTGTGGTCTAAGGGTGTAAAGTAAGTCTCTTATTAATTGTATATGTAATAAGTACAGCTACTAAATTTCTTTAAACAAATATATTGTTATCTTGTATACGAATTATCTAATAACAACATTTTAGGTTAGAATTAATGTGCTTAAATTTACCGCATATTCCATGTTAATTCATTTATGTGATGCAACTCTACTCAAAAGTTAGTACCAACTTAATGTATTTTGTTATTACATGATACCAAGATTTTAGGATGTTACCCAAAAGTAATTGTTATCAAATAAAATGTCCTGCTGTAAGCCATGGTATAAAAACACTAATGCTATGACTTCTTTTGTTTTCTAATAAAGATTTAAAATTTCTGTATACATATTATAAAATTATTACAATTAATTGTGAATGACCTTTTATACAGTTACACAGTAATTGTAAACCCTAAAGATAAATAGACTGAGAGAGATACTAGGTTGTTTAATGTAATTAGAAGTTGGTTAACTATTATATATTACTAAAATTTATCTCTGCAATATAATAGGTATATTGTTATAAGCATGTAAAACAATGATAGAAATATAGTTTTAAATGTCTTATTTCTTTATGACATTTGTTTGATTGATATTATTACAGTCAAGTAGATGATCCAACGTTTGAAAAAGGAAAAATAATTTAAACATAAATATTAATGACTGAGATATACAATGCATAGGGAAGTGTACATGTTAATACTTAATTAAAATTTTTCTTAACTTTACAGGAATGTCCCCTTCAGAGTTCGAGTAAGATTATCACGCAGACGTAATGATGATGAGGACTCAGCCCACAAGCTGTTTACACTGGTTACATATGTTCCAGTCGCGTCTATCAAGGGTTTACAAACTGAAAATGTGGATGCTAGCCAAGAATAAATAAGTTAAGCTTAATGTGTGTTTAATTTCAAACTTTTATTAATACTCCTAAGATACTATCAGTTGTTCAGATTTTTTATTGCATTATACTAAAGCATATATAATAAACAATAATGTCAAGCCTAAGTCTATTAGTTTTATATAGTCATGGCAACACACATACTTTTACTATGCTAAAAAACTAATAATTTTCTATAAATGTTAGTTACTTAAAAATTTACATTAATTGAGTACTTGAATATTTGAAAACTTTAATATTTTTCACATGTTATTGCACACAATGGCATTATAGGAATAAAAAAGCGATTATAAATTGCAAAAGTACAACTCGGGCAGGACTTCATCCTACACCTAGGTCTTGGTAGCTCAATAAGTTTGAGCAACTGCACGGAACGCTGTGGGTGCCAGTTCAAGTCCTGGCTGAGTTGTAATTTTTTCAATTTAAAATTGATTTTTATTGAAAAAATTACATAAATATAATATTTACAATAAATTGTAAATATTCAATTTTCATATTAATGTACACATGAGAGCCTATTTAAATAATATCTAATAGTACGTCCTAAACCATCGACACTGGAAGGACTGGAACCCAGTTAGCAGCTTACGGTAGTGTTTCTTGTGGAAACATGGAAGATTTTCATACAACAAAACTTGTAGGTGAATTTAATAACACAAAGGGTATAAAACGCGATATATTTTAGTTAAACTTGTTTGAAAATTATTTTACCTACGGCCCAACGCGTTTGAAATCGTTAATGTTTTATTAAAATGTACTACTCGCGTTAACAAGACAGTATTTCTAGGTGGATTGTTATATAACGAAACTTATACTACATGTATTGTATTGCAACAGGTATCAAAATTGCCACTGCAAATTATAATTGTAAACCAGCAGCTGCGTATTATCTAATAATACGTGGAATGAACACGTGCATGTTATGACCGTCAGCCTGATACGATAAACCACAAGAGATGCAGGCGACAATACGTTGCGTGTATATTACGTGCTAAAAGCTTTTACACTGGCGCTAAAATTAAGAGTGGTTAATTCAATCTCGGGGAAATTATAGAAAGATTATTATCGGCTTTTATAACAGATTCATTCAAATCAGACAGTTTTGTGTCAAGGTATAATCTGTATACCTTTATTGTGGATTTTAGTTTCAATTTGTAATAAACTTTAGACTGATAACAGAGGACAAACATGCTGGTATGACTTGATGGAAGGTGACATACCTGTCCTGTAACATTTATATGTTGTTGTCTTATTTTGACTTAAACATTCGGATATTAACGTACTGAAACCTAAATGTGAATTCACAGTGCGGCTTTTCCATAGGTGGTGGTAAACCTGAAAAAAAATGAGAATCTGAAAAATAACGAAATAATCGATTTTCACGCGTTTCATAATACATGTATTGTTTATTATCTATACGTTACAATTATCAGTTTTTTAAACAACAAAGCTTTAATGGATTCCAATACATGGTCTCTCTTTTAAAATCAGCGATTTAGACTGTAAAAGGAGACCACGCTGAAAAAGTCCTCTTGAGCCTTCTCGAAGTTACAACGCCATCGATTTATAAAAAAAATGCCAGAATATCTGTACTAATATTATAAAGCTGAAGTGTTTGTTCGTTAGTTTATTTTAACGCACTAATCTCAGATTCGTATTGAAACTTCAGGCTGCGACGAATAGGAGCGAAGAAAGAGAGGGAAATGTGGAAAAAACGGGGACAATCAATTCTCTTTATTCGGATTCCCGAATAAAGAGAATTGATCTATATTTAATCAAATCGGCAGAACAGCGGTTGCCGTAAGTTGAAAATAATTCCAATCTTTCGACACGTAACGTTACTAGGTATTCAACTGTTTATTCATTCGGCTAACAGGTTTACTAAGAGCATGTCACCATTTCCGAGAACGTGGCGTTGGAGGTGTAGGCCTGTCAGCCACAACGCCAACTATGCGGTTTGCTTCCATTAGTAGCCCTAAATCCATTACAGAAGACCTTTTGCCACCGGCACATCCCCACCCATATCGATTGTCAGGTGTAATTAATATCGTATGTTAATATTATAACACGATTACTTATATTAAAATGTATTAGTCTTCCTTTTGGCGTTGCGTGTAAAATGTTATTTTGTTGTTTGCAAAGTAAATATCTATATGTTGACAAATACATGGTAATAAGGTATTTCGACCAAATTTGATTACCATAAAAACGGTTCTTGTGAGTTAAACTAAAAAGATACTTAGAAACTGGAATCGTTATTTGATACATATGTTTTGGTTCGTTGAACCGTCTTCGCAGTGCATGCAAGGGAAGGCCTCAAAAATTAATATTTTCCCAATCCCAACTCGAATTTAAGTGTAGTTTCTTGAGATTGAAATGTTGAAAGTTGTTATTATTGACGATTTTAAAGCACATCATACACAATATTGTATAACATATTATACAGATATTCGCATAATTTCTAGAAGTTAGCGCGTAGCATTCACAGTATATTGATTTCGTGGGTAGAAGTAAACACATTGTTTTTACTTTATTTTATCGTTTTGTCGAAGCCGTAATCGTTGTCTATTACGAATAGTAGTAAGTAGTTAAGCAGTAGTCTTAGGTTTTATAGAATTACCTTTGCCTCACTAGTATAATATTAGACATATCACATGTCTATAAATAAACGTTTTAAGTCTAACGTATTGTACGTTATTTTGTATCAAAATTACAACATTGATTACTTTCGTAGCGGCATGTAGCATGCATGTTTCACCGCTTACACGGGTGGCATTGAATACAATATGTTTACATTTTCCCTTGTAAATGAGACTTTATCGTTTGTGTTCCATCGTTACTTGAATTTTCAATGTAGTTCGAATAAGCCTCGTTAATCCCTATATTTATAATGATTACCTGTCTGCCGTTGCTGGTATATTTAACGGATAACTATGTCGTTATTTTCATCCGAACAAATACGTTTTAGCTTCGTATCAACTATCAATAGACATTCGAGAAACAAAAATAGCGTCAAATTGTATTTATGTTACTGAAATATATATGGTGACTAACTTTTAACATTTGAAACCGTTTCATTTGTATTTAATTTATTTTTAAAGGTGGTGCTAGCGTAACCTTGACTATGACATTAGGGTCACGCACTATCTTCAACAATCCCCCCATTATGACTGCCGCAAAGCATTCGAAATTTCATGTCGTACTAATAAAAATCAAATGTTACTAATGTAAACACATCTTTGACTAGTTTAACTAATATATTTCGCGCTTTAAACCGTTAAGTGTTTGTATTAAATGTGTACTACCAGCCGTAACTATAATAGTTCCAATTATTGTCCTTTGGAATCTAACGTTTTATGAAGATAAGATGAGATGTTTAGAGTGACAAAGAGAGGCTACAGTAGAGGGTTACGAAGGCATTATCTCTCGCGCTTGACCGAGCTTTGATTACTGCTCCGACGAGTCCTAAAGCCTTGTTGGGGTCTAATGACATGAGAACAAGTAAATATCCACTTATTTGAGCTTCTCCGAAAAACGATAGCACTCGGAAAGAATTCTTATTATATCTTTACAGTGAACGTAGTTATTTTAATATTTGATGATTTATATAACACAGATTTAATGTTAAGAGATTTTTATTTATTGTCTTAAGTTTTCAAAGTATTGCTGAAGTTAGAAAAGTCTTTAAAAATTAATACAGTCTAAGAAAACACCTGAATCACAATTGGAAGTTTATCGGTCGTATTGTAGCAGATTTATTATACAGAGGCAAGTTTTATTATAGGGTACGGATAGTCGTAGATATTATTAATTTGAATGATGACCTTCGTTGGATTTCAGTGAGATATGAGAGGGGTAGGTGTGCTAAGGAAGACAATGTCTTACATATTTTAAACGGGCACGCCCCCATTCGCACAAAGGCGTAATTTATAGGACCGCGCGGAGATGGGCGGCTGAGTTATGTCCCGGCGATAGCGACGAGCTTTTAACTACCTAATGGAGCGATTTACTAAGACCACCTTGTGCCTATTCCAAAGCACACAATGGAGCGTGTGTTTAATTGATTGGCGAGGAGCGTTATTTTAATTTGTCGCTATTTAAAACATTATTTCTATATTAAATCATTTATTACACATACTAATAAACCAAAAATAAAAATTGTTTCAGTAGGAATAAGGCCACCTTTTGCACTCGATAACATATAATAATATTTCGGTTGTAGCCGTATTATTAAGACTACTTTTAAGGTTTGTGTGTTAAAATATAGAATTAAATTAATAAGTAATTAAACTCTAAATATAAGCACTTTTAAATTAGACGTAGGGGAGGGACTCCACTTTGTTTTGTCGTACCTGGAAGTAAAGACAACGCCGATTTTGAGTCCACGTTTGACATTTATAATATAACAGTGCATATATTTATGTAAACACATTACAGATATGTTCATGTACGTACAGTATACAAAATACATATTCACACAAAACACAAAATGTATGCCATAAAAAACTAAGTAAGAAGTAATACAGAAATAATAATAATAGTAATAAACAAGCACATATACGCGGCTAAGGCCGCCTCTGAAATTGTTCTGCTAAACGTTTAAAAACGTTTCAGTAAAGGGGGATTTCGTACTCAAGGGGGTAAGTTGTTTCAGCATTTAGTAGCGTTACACAGACTTTATTAAAAAGCTGGTTTGTGGTTTTTATGCATAGTTTCCGCACATAACCCTGTGGATGCCGGTTCAAGTCCCGCCCGTGTCGTATTTTTTTTTTCCATATAAATAAAAAATTAAACCAAAATAAGAAGTTCTAGTTCTAATGATATACTTTAGTGGGTTTACCATATTAGTATAACATGTTACCTTAAATTAATGGTTAGTGGATGATAAAATGTAAAAGAAGTAATTTTACGCGAAATACGTGATGCGTAAAAAACTCGCTGGTAACAGATATTATTTTACATAGGTAGTAAAAATATGCTG